GGAGCCCTGACCCCACTGGGGTGGCAATGACAAGGCTCCTCAGGGGTGGAGAAGGGATGAGAGGGGTTCCTTGGACAAGGTGGATGGAGAATTTCTTCTCCACTTGCTTTATGTACATTCCCACGCTACTTCTGATTTCTTCTTCCCTCTGCAAAGAACCCAGAAAGTCTCCGTGTGTGCTCCAAACACCTTCCCCATCCTTCCTCTGCTCTCTGCTCCCACCCACCAGTTTGGAGAGAGGTGCAGAGAAAGCCTGGCCTGGGGTTGCAGCAAAGCAGGAGCTTCAGAGCATTTTTTTCTCACTAGTGCGCCTTCCCTCTTCTTTTTACTATTTTTTTTTTTTTCCCCCCCCCGCAGCAACCAAGGAGCTTTTCCCAAAATGTGTTTTCCACATGTTCTCTATTAGTCATGCTCTCTGTCTTACAAATCCGTTACCAGTGCCACTAGCTGATGCTATTAATTTACTTCCAACCGGCTCACAGAGCTCAGCAGCAAAATTCCAGGCGGCATTCCTAAAACCAGACCCAGCGGCTTGTTTGGATTTAAAATCGGTGTCCCTTTCTTTCCCGGTCTGTAGCACCTTCCCTCCTTCTCCCAAGGCTGGGTGAGGGAACGAGGGGCCGGGAGCGGCGGCGGGACTGGCCGTAGGGGTGCAGGCAGCGCGCGGGGGGCCCCGGCCGCCGCAGAGGCGGGGTTTGACATCGCCTTAAATACGTCCCTTGAGCTCCGGTTTCCAACCACTGGAGCATGGCTGGGCCGAGGCGGCGGGAGTTTATCTAGGGCAAGGCACAGGAATGTCGGCGGAGGAGAGAAAGCCGCCGCGAGAAGCACCATGACTCTGTGAGTGAGTTGGGTTTTTTTCCATTGTTTTCCCCGCAGCTTAAGCAACGGGGTGGGAACCGTGCAGAAAGGAAGCGTGTCCAGCTAGCACAGATGGTTTTCTCTATGTCTTTTTTTTTTTTTTTTTTTTTTTTTTCTTCTTCTGCTTATTTTAGACTCGGGTTTTAAAGTTTTTCCCAGTCCCAACCGTTGTGCCTGATATTGCGCGGAGAGGTCAGCAGGTTTGGGGAAGTAACTGTGTTGAGAACACGGAGCCAACAGCTCATTCCTGTACCTGGCTACACACAATTTTCACTACTTTCAGTGCTGCTGGTGGCTCGAGAGGTCCAACTCCTCCTTTGTAGCTGTTTCAAAGGGAAACTTGTACCCCACGCGCGTTCCCTACGCTGCACGTCAGCTAGTCTGGGAGGTGAGGTGTGAAGATAGTTGTCCGAAAGGATTTCAAAGCCAGAGGGATGGTGTGTCCGCTCAGGCGATCTCTCTGGCAGATAATTTAGCTGTGTGAACCACCTAACACAATCCACCTACCTGCTGCAGATCCACACTGGTTTTTTTCCCCCAGCGAGCCGGACTGTGTCCCTTTCTCACTACTTGGAGGAATCCGGTCTGAAGCACGGGAGATGCAAAAAATCCACTTTCTGTGCTTTGCTATCTGGCATCGTGAGGAGATGAGACATAGGCTTTTTCTAGCACCATCCCATTCCTCAGCAAAAGCGACGTGAACAAACCCTTCCTTGGAAGCTTGTTTGCCTTACGATCGATTCCAAAATATAGCCCCCCTCTAACTTTAATTACTTGGGGAGGGGGGTACTAACCCCCCTCCCCAAGTAATTAAAGGCATTGAAATCTCATAGTATTTATAGACTTTCTAGTCAGCGAGTCGCAAAAAACACTGGAAGTTTAACTGAACTGATTGTAGGAGGGTTTTTAACCTCGTTTCCTTCAGCTGCTGCTTTTAAATAGGGTGCCAGGAGAGTGGGTGGACACACAGGAGCGGACTGTCAAGGTTTGATCATACACCGAGGCAACGGTGGGGTCCCAGGGGTGCAGAAAGAGCTCGAGGCTGTTTCCTGCAGATGTTCCTGCAGATCCAGATGTGCACGGAGGGCTGAGCTGCAGTGTCGATGGCAGGACCGACAGCTCGGGCTGGCGGCCGGTAACCAGAGTCGGTCTTCTCGAAGCAACAACCCACCCCTTCTGTTATTTTGCAGTTGTTTTCCTTTTCCTTGACTCGGGAGGACAGTGCGTGTTTTGAACCAACGCTATCGGGTGCTCCTTTCTAAAATGTGTTTCCCAGAGGAGACAGTGGGTGCTTTGCTAACAACCCTGACTAATATCAGACCAAAACTTGAATATTTCATCCAGAAGACAGCATTACCTCGACCAGACCCTCCCTGCCCCAGCAAGTGGCTGTTGGGAGACGAGTCTGAGCTTTGGGAATTGTGTCCTTGAGTAACACTTGCAAAATGGTAAATTATCCCCAGTGTAGACCTCATAAACCCTTTAGGTGAGCACTGAAATTTGTAAAAGAACTGCTCCGCAGGGCATTTGAAGCCTGTGTTTTAGAACAATTTGAGGTAGGCAGCGGATTGAGGATGCAGATGGGAGTTGGTGGGTGGCTGAGCACCCGCATGGGCGCCGGCCAAGCTGGGGTCGATGTGTGCTCAATCCAAGCCCCAGCCTTGGCCGGATCCGGCTGCTCCAGGGACGGATGCACTAAATCCCCCAGTGGGCCATCGCTGCACCCAGAGGGGTCTTCCCTTCCCAGCCCCCCCGTCAGCCGGAGCTTGGCCGAGTGCCCGGATTAATCCTGCAAATCATTTAATGCCCCCGTTTTGCCCGTATCTGAATGGGGACAGAAATGAGAGGAAGGGTTAGGGCCGCTTTAAAGTGTATCCACCAAGTCTAAAGAAGCAAAAAGGCACTCAGAGGGGATGCTTTCCCATCCCACACCTGAATAAACCCGGTTTTCTCAATAAATAAAGAATAGCTCAGTGGGGATCTCTTTCCACGTTCTTCTGCAGTGGCTGAATTCCGTAGTGGATATCTGCAGCAGCATTTCTGTAGTGACCATTGGGTTCAAGGCATCACTTTTGGGGCAGGAGATGGGGATTCTGGTCCTGGCAGCTTTCAAGGCTGTTGTTCTTCACCAGGTAAATTAAGGGCAGAGAGGAGAACTTCCCCAGCTCTTCTCCTGGCTTATTACCCAGCTCGGAGCGAGCTGTTTCTCTGCTCCCTGCCTCAGTTTCTCCGGCTACAGGACAAGAATAACACCATCTGCAGAGTGCTCCCACAGTCTCGGTCTGGCGTGTGAAGAGTTGGGGGTTTGGGTTCGCAGAGGATTTGTTTGATCTAGAAATAGCAGGGTTAGAAAATTCCATCTGCCTGCTCTCGAGAGCCCTCGACAGCGGAAAAAATTTCACCGCATCTCGAGCCTCGGACCGCGCTGCTACCTCCCGGGGCAGCACAAAGACACGGGCTGAGCCAACCAGCGCTGTTTGGCTCCTGGCCTAAGAAGCAGCGTTGAGCAAAATCGTGTTCCAGAAAGGCTTGACGTGCAGAACAGAGAAAGGCACGTCTCCCTTCTCGCTCCCACGTGGGGCTGTGCCCGTGGCTGCTCCCACCCTGCGATGGGCTCAAAGCCCGGCTTGTGCCAGGGAAACCCTTGAGCGTAATTTTGTGTCTCCACATAAAAGCGTAAAGCCAGTAAAACCAGTAAAGTCAGGTCAGGACGAGGCTTATGCCTCACGGCATCGTTCTCCCTCCTGGATATTTACCTGCGCTCAGCCACACTCCCCCAGCACAGAGGGGTAGGTTTGATGTCCATGCTCTTTCAACGTATGGACAACAGCTCCTCTCTCTTCCTCTGCTTGGTCGCGGAGGACCGTGGGGGAGTAGCCTGTGCCTGGGCAGATACTACTGAGCCATAACACACCGCTGCCATGTGCTACTCTGCCCTAACTCACCGGTGCCCACGCTCGTGTGCTTGGCTCCTACCTTCACCATCGACACAACCGCCCTTTGCTGCGGGGTGCAATCACAAGCATCAGTTCACGGCTGGGGTTGGGCTTTCAGACACCTAAATTACGGCTTGCCAGCGGGTGTCTGCCTGGAAACAAGGTGGGTAAACCCCATGATGAGCCTGAGGGTGGTTCAGAGGAAGGACGCAGGGGAGCAGAAAGGATGGTCCCATCCTCTGCTGCCCTGGAGAGCCCCGCTATCCCCTGCCGCGGTGCTCTTTAGGTCTGAGCGCTTTCCCTATCGCTCTTATCTCCAGGTATCTGCCCGGGTTGCTGCCAGTTGAGCAGGAAAACTGCTGCCTGCCTTTAACGATGCCTGGGGTCACCCACAGAGCTCGGGCTGAGGCCCCATTGCAAGTTATGCTAAACACAAAATGGTTATTACAAGCTCTTCCTCCCCAGCTGTCCAGGTCTAATAAATGCATGGTTTTCTCTGAAAGCTCTTCAAGGTTTATTTTTAAAAGAGTCTGCTTTTGATTAAACATTTGTTTTGTTTTTTTCCAAAAGGAACTTAAAAGGGCCACCAGCCCGTAAACATAAATATTCCCATTCTTTTGCTGATTCTTTGCATTTTTTCTGGGTTTGCTAACGAGAGATATTTCAGCAGTGCAAGTCTCTGTGATGTGGGCAGCATTCTCTATTCCCGCTTTCAGCTTGAGCCCATGGCGTACAAGCAAGGGATTATCACAAGTTAAGCACCTTTTTGTGCCTAGGCGGCTTCCATGGTGCCTCTGCGTTCACTTTCACAGCCAACCAGACCCTTCTTACAGATGATCAGCTTCTTGAAACAGGCAACAAAGTGGGTAACGGTGAAGCTAGTAGGTGCTGTGGCTTGTCGTGGTATTAAGCCGCGTTTAGCTAGTACCACCAGCTATCACTGCCTCCGGTTACGGTGGTGCAGCACATCCCCCACGCTGGGCACAGCTCGTTCCCCGACGCCGCGTTCCCATGGTCAGCCCCACGTCGTGGTCCCTCACAGGTCCCGGGGAGATGGGCCGCAGCAGTGAAGGGTGCCTCTTAGGGACAAAAGGATTTCACCTCTCACAGACGTGCCAGCGTCGCAGCCGTATCGCTGCCTGCAGCCACAGATGTTAACTCACAGCTCTGGTTTTTATCTCCCCCCCCCCCCTCTTCCTGCAGGTTATAACTGAGTAGCCCTTATGACCAACATGAGCTGGAGCTTTCTCACCCGCCTGCTAGAAGAGATTCACAATCACTCCACCTTCGTGGGGAAGGTCTGGCTCACTGTGCTCATCGTCTTCCGCATCGTCTTGACGGCGGTGGGGGGGGAGTCCATCTATTCCGATGAGCAGAGCAAGTTCACCTGTAACACCAAGCAGCCTGGCTGCGACAACGTCTGTTACGATGCCTTTGCGCCGCTGTCACACGTCAGGTTCTGGGTCTTCCAGATCATCATGATATCCACCCCTTCGGTCATGTACCTGGGCTATGCCATCCACAGGATCGCCCGGTCGGCGGAAGAGGAGAAGAAGTTCAAGGGATTCAAGAAGAAGAAGCAGTTTGCTTTGAACTGGCAGGCAGTGCGCAATATGGAGGACCCGATGGAGGCCGACGAAGAGGAGCCCATGATCTCTGATGACACAGCGGAACGGGAGAAAGCCAAAGCCAAGCCCAAGAGCAAAGAGCAACAAAAGCACGATGGGAGGCGGCGCATCCAGCAAGAAGGACTGATGAAAATCTACGTCTTCCAGCTACTTACCAGAGCTTCGTTTGAAGTTTGTTTTTTGATAGGGCAGTATTTGCTCTACGGTTTTGAGGTAGAAGCCTATTACGTCTGCAACAGAGTCCCTTGCCCTCACACTGTGGACTGCTTTGTGTCCCGACCAACAGAGAAGACCATCTTCCTCCTGGTGATGTATGTTGTGAGCTGCCTGTGCTTATTGCTCAACATGTGCGAGATGTTTCACCTGGGGTTTGGGACTATCCGAGATGCTATTCGTAACCGGAAAATCAACAGCTTTAGGCAGCCTCCCTACAACTATGCCTACCCAAAGAACATCTCCTGCCCTCCTGAGTACAACTTGGTGGTGAAATCAGAGAAGTCCACCAAGATCCCCAACAGCCTGATGGCTCACGAGCAGAACTTGGCTAACGTCGCTCAGGAGCAGCAGTGCACCAGCCCGGATGAGAACCTCCCGGCAGACTTGTCCACCCTTCACAAACACTTGCGAGTGGCCCAGGAGCAGTTAGACATAGCATTTCAGAGCTACAGCAGCACCCAAGCCAACACGCAACCTTCTCGAACCAGCAGTCCCGCCTCGGGCGGCACAGTGGTAGAGCAGAACAGGGCCAACACCGCCCAGGAGAAACAAGGTGCTAAACCCAAGGCTTGCTTGGAGAAAGGGAGCTCCAGCAGTAAAGATGGAAAGACGTCTGTATGGATATAGCTTCATCTAAAAGGAAAGAGGGCATCAAAAGCGGGGGTTTTTATTTTGGTTTGTTTCTGTTTTTTCAGCACTGTCTTGCGTTCGTTTCACAGAGAACAAGCGCGATTTTTATATAGAAATCAGGAGAGAGAAGGAGTTTCAGACCAATTTAGTGTTGTCTGCCAGTGCATTAACAAAAGACATTTCTTCCCTGTTTCCAACACGTTCTCCAGTTGGAAACCTCCGGCGAGGGACAGCAAACCCCTCCCGCGTCTTCCACCCCTTCGGTCACCACGGGAGCCCCCAGCAGAGACTGGACAACGCGCTGTGATGGGAAGTGGGAGCTGCTGGTGGCTCGGGAGAGAAGTCAGGCCAACAGCAAGCAGCTCCCCTCCTACACGGCAAGGCTAGAGGGCTGCAGGTTGGGCGGTGTTTAATTACTAAATATCTTTCATCAAAATTAATTTCCGATCCCTTGATAAGAAAATAAAACAACCGGCATATTGCATGAACTTTCCTGACATGCCTACAGCTGATGTCCTGCCTGAATTGTTAGATGCATCTCTGGAAACGGAGGCATCGCTCGATGCTGCGAGCCGTGAGCTGGCACCCACGTCAGGTTACGGGGCAGAAACGCAGTGACTGTCTTACACAGGGAGACCTAAAAGTGTAGCACAGCGCTGGAGGTTTTTGTCTTTTGTTCCTCTGCACCGAAGCAAAAACTGTGCAGCAGGGGCGAGCGGTGACATTGTGTTGTATCGGTGCCTGTGCAGCACTTGCCACAGATGCGATGGGAATCGCAGCAGTTACAGTGGTTTTAACAAACTGCCGCTTCACGTCATCATAAAGTGCCTTTATGCAACCAGGAAAACAAAATCATAAAGGGTTTTGACTTGGTTATTTGCTGAGTAGGAGTAGAGGTTGGAAGATCAGTGCTGGCAAATTTGTTTTTCTGTTTAATCAAACCCTTATAAATAGTGGCAGGCAGCAGGTCTATGCGTAGTGTGTGTATATGATGGGTGCGTGTGTACATATACGTATATATACAGACACATATGAACATGTGTGTGTGAATATAGACATAGAGAGATATACATAAATGTAATATCAACCCTCTGGTAATTTTACAGCCTTCCACCTCCCCTGGGAAAACTCGCCTGGTCCAGGACTATGGCTGACCTCATCCTGGAGCAGTTTTTTGGGCTTCCAGCCTCCAGTCCCACCTGGGGAACTGGCAGATTTCACACACTTGCTCGGGGGGCTTAGCAGAAGATCTGGTTTCAGTTGGGACAGGACCAGGACAGTAGCAGGAAGTTTTTCACTAGTTCATGGGGACCTTTTTGAGTTAAGCTTGGTTCTAGGGTGGTTTTCGTGCAGCTACAGGAATCTGGGGGCATGTTAAAACCAAGCTGCTGAGTTCCAAGGCTCCTGCTAGGGCTGAGGATGTGCTTTGTCAGGGTGGTTTCATCCCATGTCTCTTGCATAGCTGCGGGGTTGTGGCTTTGTACCCCTCCAGTAACAACAAATAGAAATAAAACCTCATCAATGGGAGAGCAGGGAGCATCTCCTGCCAAATAGTAGAGGATGAAAGCAGGCACTGCCCTACTCTGCCACATCTCAGAGCAGGTCTCATCCCTGGGATGTTCCCAAGATGCCTGTGGCTTGGCAGATGCTCTTGCAAGCCCCCCAAGAGTCCAGTGGTTGATTCACCACCAGGGAGAACCCAAATCAGCAGAGCCTTCAAGATCAAACCTAACGTGAAAGAAGTAAATCCTCACCAAACACAGCACCATCCCTGTGGCGAGCTGTTCCCTCAGGTCCATTCCAGCCACCCAAAGTCGCATCCAGGTCCCTGTGTCAGTATTTCTTATCCGTGGGATCTATATGACTTCTTGCTGGGCATCTTTCTCACGTCCCTGAGATCGGTCCCTGAAAAACTTGAGGACGCTTGTTCCCCAAGTGGCTGGGTCCTTTGGCCAGTCTTGGGAACGGGCAGAGAATTTGGGTATGGCCTTCTGCCCCTGGGAACCTCGACTGAGCTGTGCCGTGCCGTTAGAGAACAGTGCCGGCAGCAAAAAAAAAAAAAAAAAAAAAGTAGGATTAAAAAGAAATGAAAGAAACATCCTATGAGGTATCCAGCTGTAAATATTCACTATGGCTTTGCAGAACAGTCTGGGGAAGATTTTCAGGCTTGTTCCTAGTCCTGCTGAAGGCATCGGTAAAATGCCTGGAGTGCTGCCTGTTGTCGTTAGAGATCTTCCTCTTGAAAAAGGGCAACCGCATCCAGGAGGAGGATCACTGTACTCCCCACCAGCGATGGTGAGGAGTAACACACATCTGTCGCGTGGAGGGACGGCCTTTCTGCTGTGAATTTTGAATGAAAGGCTCAGGAAGTTCACACCGCGGCGGTGGGGAGGCAAGCATATCCGGGCGTGCTGTTGGTCCCCGTCCCACGTGAGGGGACGTGCTGTCCTCCTGGGCTGGGCTGCACTGGCAAATGCAGGAGAGGCTGTTTGCTGACGGTGATGCTACTATGAATATAAATGCACACAGGTCCACAGGCCAGGGCTGCTGGGGAGGAAAGCAGAGGTGCCGCTGGGTGGAAATTTGCTCCCTAGTAATTACAGCTGTCCAGGGCACAAGCTCGTCCTCCACATCGACGTGACTTCTCGTTTATCACCAGCCCTGTGTCCCATGGGAAAGAGTGTGTATTTAAAGTCACGCTCCCAAGGGAAGGATGGGAAACTCTGAGGAAAGCGGTGGTTGGATGTTGCTCTTTTTTTCTGATTCCTCTGAAATGAGCAGCTCTATCACAGCCCCGGATAAATTTCTCCTTCTCATGCAACGCCGGCAGGCGCTGTGCTGTGCAGCAGTTTGGATTTTGGATTTCTCCTGCCCATACCAGCGACACCTCCCTCAGACCCAGACATGGCTTGAGCATTTCCTGATGACTCAGATCAGCCCCTCAGCTCCCGATGACTTGTAGATTTACCGGCAAGTCATCAAATGCAGGGATGCCTCCCTGGCTCTTGCCTCAGGAAATCATCCTGGCCTCACCATTGGGAAAAGAGCAGGGGGCAGGTTTTAAGCCAGAAACCCCAGAACCTGATCACGGGGACCTGACTGAATCATTAAATCCACTTTATATAGCAGAGCTATACCCCCTTCCCCAACAATATAGCTGGTCAGTGCCCAACGGGAGCAGATCCCTGGGCTCCATGGCTGCAGGTTCAGAGACACTTAGAGCAACAGAGCTGGAAAAGCTTCTCCCCCAACTTGCCACCATCAAATGCTTCCTTAATGGTTAACGTGAACCCCCCCCTCGCTGCAACTCCTGTCATCTCCTCTCCTCAGCAGCCACGGAGAACATCTCATGCCTTTAATGGCTGCAGAAGCTTTTGGGTGTTTGAAGGCTGGTTTCACCCTCCTCAAGTCTGCTTTAAGCTAAACAACTCCAGTCTTATCAACCTTTCTCCAAGGGCTGCTTTTCTAGCGTGCTTTTTCTTGGTGTCTTTCAACCACCACCAGCCAGTCCACATCTTCCCAGGAGTCTGGCATTACAGGTCCTTGGGCCACCTTCCCACTCTGCTCCTCTTCATGTGCCCATCTGCCACCCGGGCCCTCCCCAGAACCCCACCTTCTGCAGGCACTGGGATTGCTCCCCCTCTTCACATGCGTGTTTGTACAGTCAGGATCTTCCTGCCCTCCTTCAAACTGCCTTTTTATTCTCACACCACAGACCCAGTGCACCGAGGGGGGGAGGGGGTTTGAACGAGCTGTCAGCCCCGCAGCAGATTTGCAGAGGGTAACCCCCCTCTCAGCCATCCTTCGAGCCAGCCCTGCTGATCTGTCAGACTTGAAATACTTCCTTGCATAAAATGCTCCGCAGATGGGAGCTGTTCTTGCTCTCCCATGTTTTCCAAGAGTTTTGACAGGGACAGAAGCACAAAGGCACATTCCCGGCACGATTGCTTCGGTGTCATGGGCTGCCTGGGAGAGATGCAAAGTTGCCAGCCTGGAGAACACCACTGACTCCTCTGACCCTGGGGAGGAGGGACCCCAGTCCTCCCAGATCCCATCTGAGCCGCACGCAGGAGCCAGCATGAGTCAGACAGCCCTGAAATATAAAGGTTGTTTATTATTATTATTATTATTATTATTATTATTATTATTATTATTATTATTATTATTATTATTATTATTATTATTATTATTATTATTATTATTATTATTATTATTATTATTATTATGTATACTAAGTTGCTCACTTCCCCCCATCCTCCTCCACCCTCTGGCCTCTAAAGCCTTTAAGATACTGTGTCTTTCCAACAAGTCACTGCCACAAAAGCCACCAACATGCATTAATGTCTCTGCAGGAGCGACTCCGTTCAGGGCAGGAGCAGAAAATCCTCTCTTTATCATGTCAGTTTGAAAAGGGTAGAGAGCAAAATAAGCACAACCACAAGCAAAAAACCCACCACAATTACAAACTAAACCAGCATCTCGAGGAATTTCAATTAGACGACAGGCAGCATCAGCCACAGAAGAAACACCAGTAGCATAATTAACACTTTGCTCTTTTTTTTTAACAGATAAGTAGTTTTGTTCACACGCAAGACGGGTTTAGCTTTGTAGCTGAACTAATTGTAAATGTTGACTCTCTTGCTAAACTTGGTCAGATAAAGTGCCCACACTTATATTTCTGTTCTTACCATTCAGGGCCACGAATGTCCCACGTAAAAGCCCGATTACCTTGTTGCTTGCATTGCATTCCACTGGGAAATACTTGAATTTAACTCAAGGCCATAACCAGTCTGTGCTGTTATGAAGTTTCTGGGGTCGTTATTTTTTTTTGTTGCTCATTTTTTTTTATGTACTGACTGTATTTGTACTAGAAATGTTTTGAGTATGAGGTTGAATCTGTAATTTTCAGTGTAAATGTTACATCTGGACTGTAGTTAGAATATTAAACACTGGTCAAAAGAGAAAGATACAGCAGTCCAACTCTTCAACTGGCTATTCCACATCCATTACTAATAAAACAGAATAAAACTTACATTTTGTTACAGTAGGTAAAGCGTGTGATGTTTCTGTGAGAAGGGTGATGAGTGTCGATGACAAGAATTTCTTCTCAATCTATTCTTTGCCTGTTTTAGGCATGTAAGAGCTCTATTTTCCAAGATATGGTTATAAATCACTGCAAAATACTTTTGCCTTAAGAAGTAGTTGACCTTCTAGTTGTTTGGGATGTGTTGTCTCCCTGATGAATCACTGCCTACAATTCCTTCAGGCATGGAGCTGAAACAGCTTAGGAAAGCCTGTACTTTCAAAAGCAAGAAAACTTTGCAGAATTGGGGAGAAAGTGATGATTCAAGCTGAGCAAATGATGGGAGAGGATTTGTGAGAAGCCTGCCTTTCCGAAGGACCTCAGTCTTTGCTCCTCCCATTAAATAACAGGCACATTCACTCGCAACCCCTGTCCAAAGAGTCTCCAGGAAACAAATTCTGGACAGAAACATGTTTATTTCTGTTTCTCCAGCAGTTGTGTTATCTTTACAACTTCTTTGGCATGAGGAGGACCAGCTCCCACCACGAGGCAGAGAAGAACAGGATCCTCTAACAAGTCCACAAGGAGGGTCAGTAGTCAGAAGCATTTTAGCTTCATAGCTCACATCCTTTGCAGCGCTACATAAAACACCCAAAAGAAAGGAAAATTGCTAAATAACAAGCTGTGCTTCCAACCAGCAAGGTCTGAGGAATATGGTGAACTTATTCTTGGTGTTGGCTGCTGGGTTGCTACCAGACTTACTCAGACATAGAAGCACCCGTGGGTGGCTGACCTTATCCTGATGTTGCTGCTAGCCACAGTCATGCAGAAATTAACCCTGTAGCGAGCCTTCCTCACTAGCAGCCTTCATCCCTCACTGCCAGGCTTGCTTGAAGTCTCTGTGCCCCAACCCACGGGCAGCCACGTCCTGCCCCGATGGCTCAGGGGACAGGCATCAGCAGGGAGTGAGTGAGGAGCAGCCTCATCTCTTGTCTCCAGGTCACCTCCAAATTGCTGCTGCTGGAGAATGTGGTGGGGACAGCGTCCACAGAGGGAGAGCAGAGCCACAGGGTGATGGGGCCCCTCAGTCTAACGCTCAGTAGGAGGAGGAATGGCAAAAGCAGCCTCCATCTGCCTGTATTCTGGGAACATGCAGCGCGACTGCAAAAAAAAAAAAAAATCCAAAAAACAAAAAAATCATTTCTTTAGAAAGCCAGGCTGAAAATACCAGTGACTCGCCAACATCTCATTCTCTCTGGGATTACGAGACCCATCTTTTTTATTAGCTGCTCCATGCTGCAGACAGTATTCCTGTCAACAGCATCTCACTGGCTCCTAATCACTCCCCCTAGGGAAATGCTAATAACAGCTTTACCTTCATTTTCATCCCCACTAGCACAGAACAGCCCCTTTGGTGCCCAAAGACTCACTCCTTGCAAACTCAACTAGCCGCTTTGCTTTATTTCTGTGTCCAGCCTGCTGTTCTTGCAATTTCCCCCTATCTTCACTGGCCTTTGCATTGCCCATGCCAGCCACAATCCATGTTTTTCCTCCCCAAGATTGTGGAATATTGTCCCTGTGCCAGAAGTGCTGCTATGGTTTACCGCAGCCCCACGTCCTGGCTGCTTGTGACTGACCTCCTGGAGCGTAGCTTGGGGAGTACTTCGTGCACAGGATTAGGGTTGAATAATTCCAGCTGACGTGGGTTGGTGGATGAGAGTTTGTGCTTAGCACCCCGAGAAAAAGCTGGAGAAAATGAGTTTATTATAATAGCATTAACCCACAGGGCTGGCTGCAGGGAGAAAGCAGTTATCCCTGCATTATGGCAGTGCAGCTGAGTTATGGATGAATAAATGCTGACGATGAGCCCTCACGGGTGGGAGCCACGGGCTGTCCTGCTGCTGTGGCAGAGAGCAAGCCCCAGACATGGCAGGGTTTTGGGCGGTGAGAGAGCAGAGAGAGGAAAGCTGGTGGAGCAAGAGGCTGCCGGCAGCTTGTGCAACTGCCCAGGGACCCGTGAGGAACACAGAGAGAACATCTGCCCTTTTTCACCATTTTCTTAGTAGTGGGAATGGTTTCTGAGTTGCCCCAACACACCTGCCTGGGTGAGAGCTGTTCCACCGAGGGGGGATTTTGGGGGATGTTCCCTTTGGGGTAGGGCTTAGCTGGGGACGTTGCATCTTGTCACCCCGCCACGCCGTGCTGCCAGCTCTCCTTCCACAAACACCGCCAACAAAACTGGTGGGGGAATATTCATCAAGCTGAGGTGGGTGTAGTATCATGAAAAAGAGGGAGCTGTAGCTTTCATGGTCTCACCGTGACTTGGCGAGACTTAGGTACAGAGGAGAGGTGGATCTCCACCCCCATGAGATGCCCGCACGGAGCTGGTCCCCCCCCCAGGACCGCTTGCAGTCCGTGGGGTGAACGGGCACTTCTTGGGTGCAGCTGATGTGATTCAGTTTACACAGAGGCTTTGGGGTGAAGTGAAGCATCCTGAAAGTGTCTTTAACTCCATCAAAGGAGCCCAACCCACTCGGGTGTGGATGTCCACATTTGGGTAGATGAATTCCATACAGGAGAGGGCTGTTTTCCCAGTATAACTTTAGATATTTTATGCCAGAGACTCTGGCAGAAGCCAACTGAGCATCGCAGAGAGCTTGCTTTTCAAAATTCCCCCTGCCTCTGCCAATCTGGCTCCGCACCAAGGCATTTTGATGCTCCTCCACTGCCTTCAAAGCATAGACACACAGAAGAGAACCGAGGACACAGACTCATTTTATCAGGCTTTCGGTTGCTGAGCTGAGACTGTGGCTTCAGAGGGTGGGAAGGAAAGGATCCGTGGCTGCGCCTGGGAGCTTTAAACACATCAGAAAAGTCCACGCAACGCCACTCTTGCTGCTTGAAGCACAGCAGGTCAGATGCAACCTCTGCTCCAAACGCGGATACCAGCAAGGGAGATGATATTACTCAGTCCCACAGTATTAATCCCATGGGAGAGTATCAGCCAAGTGCAATATTGCTCTCATGAGCAAAGGCAGGAGGATTTGATCCCGCCGCGGGCAGGTTCTGCTGTGCTAGTGGGTTTTAAAGTCACTGTAACTTCATCCAAACAGCATTGGGAGAAGAATGTGGAGGACAGGGAAGAATCACCCAATGTCTGCCAAATTAATCTCAGGGAAAGCTCTGGGAATCATGTTGTCCCTCTGAGCAGGTTTCAGGTCCCCTACTTTTAGTTAAGAAAGACACACACTCAGCGAGGGCTGGCACAAACCTCTCCTGGACTCTCAGTGTTGCAGGTCTTGACCATGCTATGGCTTTCCTCAAACTATCTCCTGAGCCAACTTAACACACTAAATTGGCAGAGCTGTAGTTTCTGACCTCTGCAAACTTTTAAATACTAGTTTACTGGCAGCATAACTGTGTGCTGAAAGAAAACAAAACCCAGAGAAAAGTGAATAAAAGCGCTAGGAAGTGGAAAATAAAATAAAAAACGCTCAAATGGCTTCCTGGTTCTTTTCTACTTGCACGTTTCTTTCCATTGCCACCCTTTCAAATGTGGCGTGTGGGGTTTCATGCAACACGTGTGATGGTTAGGAGGCAGCACGGGCAAGCACTGCGAGATGGCAAAGGGCTCGTGGGATGGCCACCGCCTGTCCCCACGTCTGGGTGGGTGCAGGAGGGATGTGGGACTGGGTAAAGAAGAGCCAGAGCTGGATCTGGCTGCAGGTCCCACCGTGCCTGTCGGAGCGTGGAGTCTCAGCCCAGCTGTGTTTCCAGATACGTGACTTTCCCCTTTGTCCCCGGACTTCTGAAAAGGAAAGCGCAGCTCCTGCTCTTGGCACGTTTTCCCTTCCAAGGAGAGGAAGTAAAAACAACGATGGTCACCAGCTCTCTGCATCTTCAGCTCCAATTTAGAGGAAGGTGGGTTTCCTCAGCTCCATTTTTTACGTGCCAGCAGCCAGGCAGAGCGCGTTTGCCCGCCAAGGTCACCACGAATCACATCCGCCATCTGTTTTTATTTCTCCACCTTTTTTATTTCTCCACCTGTTTTTATTTCTCTACCTGTTTTTATTTCTCTACCTGCCCTCCCCGCGCAGCTGCCTGACAGGCGTTGCCTCCGAGCGGGGTTAACGCTGAATTTAGGGGTGAAACACGCTGTTTCGCTCAGCCCCCGCCGGCGGCAGATCCGTCCCCCCTGCCCACGGGGATATATGCGATAAGGTTATCACTGCTGGGGCACATGAGGAAAACTGGGTCCTTGCCCAAGGGCTGGCTGGCTGAATGCGCCGTCTGCTGCCGTCGCATTTGCACCTCCTGAAAAAAAACGAGCCCCACTTCGCTTGGGGTTTTTAAGGTCCGGTGGGTTTGCACCGGCGCTGCCTGTCTCGTTGAATGCTGATGGTTCTTTTTTTTTTTTCAGGGTTCATTTCGGGCCCCTTCCCCGCGGGGCCACACGCGTGCTGGTGTTGGCAGCAGCAAGGGGTGGAACGGCCTTTAAAATGAATTACGGCAAGCAGAGGGAAGCAATCCCAAATGCCAGGCAGGGCTCAGGGCCGTTTCTTGAGCTGCGGGATGAATTCCAGAGTAAGGAGCTGCAGCTAAACCCGGGGCTGCCCAGACCCTTCAGAGTCCATTTCCCACAGCGCTAACGAATATTAAAGAGGCAAGGGAACAGCACCTTCAGCTCCGCGCTTTGAACGGCAGGGTTTTAACTCTGTGCAATGCCGCTTTAGTAGAAATTCCCACTGTCAAACGCTATCATTTATTCCAGAATGGAGCTACTGAGCTTTTTTTTTCCCCCAAGAGTGTTAAAAGAGGATGAGGGCAGCGGATGGGTTCTAATGAAATAGAAGTAACAGAGCATTAAAATAGAGTCGAAAACAGGAGAGTTTGGAGCAGCAGCATTTTCCAGCAGGCTAGCCAAAATATCACTGGAGGGGAATGGGTATGTACCCCGATCTGCCTGCAGTTTCCAAGGGATTAAAGGCTCGGCCGGGGAAGGAACGACTAAGGGGGGGGCAGGAACGCCGAGATCAGCCAGGGGAGAGGTTGTCTGGGCAGCACCCCCCTCCAAAAACCGCAGTAGGGAGGTTTTTGTTGTTTTTTTTTTTTTTTTTTTTTCTCCATGTGAGGGGAAGCCGGACCCCAGATGTCCCTCTGAGCAGCGGGAGGGCCAAGTTGGGGGGCGTGGGGAGGGGGGTCCCCAAATTTCCCGATATATGACAGACACTGACGGGGAGGGGGCGGAGTGAGGGGGGGGGGGGCGGGTCCTCCTCCCCTCCAGCAGGCGGCGCCCTCCCCGCGGACACCCACACACAAGATGGCGGCGGCGGCGAGCGGCGGCGGCGGCGGCGAAGCCCGGTGACAGCGTTCGGCTCTGCCCGCCGCCATGTTGGTAAGGGCGGGAGCGGCGGCGGCGAAAAGAACGAGCCTGCCCGGGCTGCGGCGGCTGTGGCGGGGCGGGGGGGCGGCGGCCGCCTGCTGCTGCTGCTGCTTCCCGCTGGGCCGGGCGCTGCTGGCCGTGCAGGGGGCCGACACCGCCCTCTTCCTTCAGGGGCTGCTCACTCACGACGTGACGCGGCTGGAGGGCCGGCCGCGGGCGCTCTACGCGCATGCGCTCAACGCCCAGGGCCGCTGCCTCTATGACCTGATCCTCTACAGGTGAGACCAAGCGGGAGGAAGGGGCGGGGGGAGGAGCTGGGCGAGACCAACTGACAGGGCGGGGGGCGGGGGGGGGGGGGGGGGGGGGGGGGGGCGTGTGTGTCCTGTTGCCAGGGAAACGGGGGCGCGCGGCCTTGGCGGGCTCGCTTCTGTCAGCGCCTGTATCACACATCGGCCTCCAGGGCGTTCCTGGCTTATCCTTATAAATTAACGCCTAATAAAGCGCTCACTCTGTGTATTTTCCATCACCGGCTGCCACCTCTGTGACTTACCCCAGCGGAAAAGCGGAGCGACCTTGAATATTTTTAAAGCAGCCCTCGTCTGCTCGGGCCGTATCCGCAACGAAGCGGTTTGCTGTGGTCACCGGCACCGCGGCACGCCATGTTGTTACCAGAAAGTGGTAATTAATTCACTCTCTAAGACTCAATTTTGGAGTTTTAGAAAGCAGGCATTCTTTATTCCAGCGCCGGACACGCAGGGGATAGCTCCTACTAATGTGTGTGTGAGAGAATGAAATCAACAAGCATTTATACTACCTTAATCATACATACTCATTGCATTTTTATCATATGCATAACTTTTCCGGGAACTCATTTAGCATATGTCAATGTCTCTTGTGCATGTCAGCTGGTGGTCGTTGGGGGGTCTTCAGATGAAGGTTCATAGTCTTCTTCGGTGTGTTCACCAGCTGACCCTTACATATGCGAAAACTCAGTCCTATGGTCATGTACATCTTGTCCTTCAAGGCCTGCTCTGGTTTTGTTGCTCATTTGCAGCTTCTTTACCTTTATGTTTCTTTGTACCTGCCACTACAAGGCCAAACCATCTCCAGAAAGATTAGTTATGAGTGCCTTATCTTAATATACAGTTATTCCAACTATTCCTCCACAGATCAGTATTTGTTCTGCAGCACAATTGTTAAATGGTTAAAACATCTTAAATTGATCTTAATGATTCTATTCCACAAATGTCTATTTTCCAATAATCTTAGTTTGCAGTGTGACGTAGAATAATTATGTCATACGGGCACCCGATGCAGGTGCGGTGTCGGTGAGAAATGGGGTTCGTGGCGTGGTGACTAATGGAAGGTGCTGAAGGTTAAACTTTTAGACCAATGTACCGATGTTATGCTTAGGTCAAGAAAGATGTTTTTTGTATATGTTAAAGCCAAAGGCATCCCCAATCAGAAGAACAAGTAGATAACCTTCTTCTGAGCAAGGACATCCCGGAGCAATTAGACCTTGAAGAGGATACATCGCCAACTTGGCAAGCAAACTCAAGGTCCATATATCCTTAGCTGAACTACCCTCATTATAATACTAAAATCATGCCTAAAGGTCAAGAAAACCCTTGCCCAGGTGAAGAACCCCCTGAGCATCCATGGTATTGTGTCAGCAGTATTAGAATTGTATGCAAATTACTAACCAATCATCGTAGAGAGGACGGACTTGGAAAATTACTAACTGCAAGTTTTGTGTCTAAATAGAGCGCGGAAAGTCCCGTTGGCGTGCTAGCTTTGTGGAATTACCACCTAGCACCCATCTCTGCACAGATGTGAAATAAAAGAAAGACCTCGACCCTGTGTGTGTTGGCTTAATACTGGGTGAAAGAACCTTTCTTTTGGGATAACAAAGGCACGGCTGAACGAAGCTTGTCCTGCTGCTGAAAGCCACCTTGCTTTCATTAAGCGTGAGTGGTACAGAAAACTGTAAGGCCAGGCCTGTTTCTGTCCCTGAGAGAGGTGAGGGCAGCATTTGATGGAAAAGAGTGGAACTGGATAGCTGAAAAAGTTCAAATATTTCACTTCAGGGAGCTGAGTGTGCACCAGCAGCCTTCGGTGAAATTCCCCAGATCTCTGGATTCACACCAGGATCAAGATAAAGCATGTTGGCTTCTGCTACGGCAGGGGTTTGTTTTTCTGACCTTGTAGGTGTTACTTTTTTAGGCTTCACAAGAGTCCAGAAGAAGAGCCGCACATCCTGCTGGAGTGTGACAGCAGCGTGCTGGACGCCATACAAAAACATCTGAAATTGTACAAGATCCGGAGGAAAGTAAACATCACCCCTTGCCTTGACCTCTCTTTGTGGGCTGTCATCCCTGGGGAGCAGGCTGGAGACATTGACAGTTCCCTCGCTAAATGTGCAGACCAGGCTCTGATTTTAACTCCTGACCCCAGAACAGAAGTCATGGGCTGGAGACTGATTACAAAAAAGGAAGCAAATCTATTGGAGATTATCCCTGGGAGTCATATTGGAAACATTCAGGATTACCACAGGCACAGGTATAAACAAGGTAAAGCCAAGTCCTGTTTTACACTGTCACTGGATTTTGGGAAATTTATTTATTTATGTATTATCACAGTTTCTTTGTATTATCAGAGTCCATATGCTGATACAAGACAGAGGAATAAACTATGACAGCCGCATTGGTATGTCACAATGTGTTTGACTTGTTAGTAAATTGCTACTTTGAGGATAAAAGTGATCTGGTAGTTATAATTCTGTCTGGTGGCAGAATCAGTATTTGGGTACAGTTTCCTGTTACTAAGATTATGAGGTGGTGTGTCAGGAATGCTAACAGCAAAATAAAAACAGGATTATTCATTTTTTTAGAGGGAAACTTCTGTGGCTTGAGTCATTTTGATTATTTTGGGATTACACACAGTCTGTGTGTTTTCCTTGTCGCTAAGGAAGGAAAAGGAAACACCCTAACATACTTTCCTAAAAATGTATGACTGGTTTTGCAGAGTTAACTCAGAGACCAAGGGGCGGGTGTTTGATTTTAGAGGGAACTCAATGCCTGGAGCCCCTGGGCCTGCGCAGAGCTTCCACTGAGTTTACTGTGTCCATGCAGATAGTGGATTATATTAATTGTCAGACTGAAAGATGATAGTCCTCTGCTTAAACCTGAATCCATCTGGTTTGGAAAAGCAAGGTGTTAATGGATCAAACTGGGCTGGATGGTGGGGGTGTGCCGCCTGCCTGAAACACCAGCGCTCGTCTTGCTGTGCTGCTGCGGCAGGCTGGGTCCAACGCTCTGCTTCAAAAAAATACTATTTTTGTGTCACAAAAGGAACAACTACTTATATAGACGTTCAACATTTGGGCTTTAACAAAGGCAGTTGGCCAACTTACATTCTTTAGCTTTGAAGAAAATAAATCGTATTGACATTCAAGTCTACTTGTGGGGTGTGGGGGAGAAGAATTATGCCTTTGGCATTACATGTAAGTTGGTGCCTTGGAGTCGTTTGGGGTGCTTTGAATTTCCCCAGGTGTGCTTGTGAAGTGCAGTAATCTTCATGAAATTAGGTTCTAGTGCAGTTCTCTGTTTACCCTTTGGAGTAAACATCATTTATAGCTAATGATTTCACTCAGGCCCAAGCCGGAGAAGCGGGTAGTTCATTGTTTCACACTGTTTTTTATGGGTTCTCTTGGTTTTACAACTCACAGAGGAGGCATATTTCAGAGATCTTAAATACCGAAGATCTTACCGCATTTACCCATTGGTTTTACTTTTTTCCTAGGAATTCCTGAAGGTGTAAAAGATCTCCCTCCTGGAGTAGCCCTCCCGCTGGAATCCAACCTGGCCTACATGAACGGCATCAGCTTCACCAAAGGCTGTTACATCGGCCAGGAGTTGACAGCCAGGACCCACCACATGGGTGTCATTCGCAAACGTCTGCTGCCAATCCACTTTTCAGCTCCTCTTCCCAAGGACAGCGTTCCCGAGGGTGCCGAGATTTTAACTGAATCAGGAAAATCAGCCGGCAAGTTCCGAGCTGGAGGAGGTGAATTTGGTATAGCTTTGCTGAGATTAGCTAATATAAATGAACCACTCTGCCTAAATATAGCAGGTGATAAAGTGAAGCTCACTGCGAGTATACCCAAGTGGTGGCCAAAACCTGCTAGTAAATAAATGAAGAACCACCACTTGCACATTTGCCTTATTGAGAATATATTTTGTGTGATACATTTAGGAAGGCGACTGTGCCTTTCAGCTGTTGTTTGTGGTGGTTGATGGGGTGAGGGTGTTCCAGGATTCTTCAAATCGGGACTAAACAGCAGGAACCCAAACCAGCGGCGGGTTTGACAGGAGGATAATCTGTTAAGCATTGTGGAGACACCTGTACAGGGTTCATAGGGAAGTGCACCTTTTTTTTTTTTTTTTTTTTTTTCCTTGAGGGTGCCCTGTATTTATTTAGGGGGTGCCACATGTTGTCGGGTTGGAGTCCTGCTGAATTTTCAGCCCACCGCTCGCTGAATCAGACTGTGCTCTGCGTAGGGTGTGGTGTGTGTTCAGACTGAAGCGAGTGATGGGAGCAGGAGTTTCCCCTCTGTATGCACTGAATGTTCAGAATAACCATTCTGTGGCATTAGAATGTGGGTGTTGTTTTGTTTTGTTTTTTTTTTAATGGAGGGCATGCTGCTCTTACCTTGCATAAGATAAATAATTAGGCTAAAGTGTCCACTGCAAATTACCCCTTGCATTGAGCTTCATCTTAAACTTGCTGATTGGGGGGGTGTGGTTTTTTCCACCACTCTAACTGCTAATTGTGTTCAGGAAGAGGAATACCTTGAGCTCCACATTTCAGACATTGATTTTAATAACTCATTCCTGGTGGGAAAGCTTTCAAACATCCCAGTCCCCTGCTTCCGTGCCGGCAGAGGGAGCACAGCCAGCAGCAGCCAGCTCCTCTTGCTCCTGACCTTGCTCCTGCACGCTTCCTTCACTCAAACAACTGTTTTGGAGAGAAAAGCAGTATTTTACAGAAATAAAGGTGCCCTAGTGTGTGCCCTGGGGTGATTCTTGCACTGGCGTGTTGGTGCTTGGCAGAATAATCTCCTACTAGAAGCACGTGCCCTCCAGTTGCCAACAACAGTTGAGGGGTGGAATTTTTTTTTTTTTTTGGCAGCAACATCTTTGCTTTGTCATCTTGTAGGAAAATCCACCGCGCTTTCCTGAAGCCTTTTGGCAGGCGTTACCTCAATCCCCCCACAGAGCTGGTGAAGGGATGGCATGTCCCCATCTCCCCCCTTTGCTCCTTCCCTCAGCGGTAAGCTGCATCCTAGGAGAAAGGGTTAATGCAACATGTGCTCTTGGCTGAGCCTGGTGTTCCTCAGGGAGAATTTTCACCACAGTTGTCCTGAGGGAGGATTTTCACCACACTCCCTTCTCCAGCTGCTTCACCACCAGGCTTGATCTGAGAGCTCTCTGCACCCCTTGTTCAAAAACCTGTCCCTGCTCCCATCTCTAGCTGAGATTTTCTCCATCCACCATCCGCTATGGGTTTTTAGAGCAGCTCAGCACTTCAGGGATTCTTTGCTTTTTTTGTGGCTCCTGCTGCTCTTCTGTCTTTGCTTTTTCTTGCTTCTACAGCCCATGTATTCCTTTTTGCCCCCCTCAAGCCAACCAGCTCTGTGTCTCCTAACCCTGTCAACCTGCAGCAATTTACAGTAATTTACAGTAAATTACCTATGTATTTTCATATTACAATAAATTGATTGTGTGCCCGCTGTGTGTGAAAGGGCGTGATGAGAGAGATGAGCAGGTGAGATCCCATGCAGACCAAAAAAATAAAGCCTTTGCATGCGTATTTGTGACAAAAACCGTCCAAAGCACATTCTGCCACTGTGTCACTGTTACTGTGAAAGGAATTTATCTGTGAAAAATGCTGATATTGGTTAAAATTCTTTATGCTTGCTGTAAAATGAGTTTGTGGAATATAGCATTAAAAGTTTATTGTATCAGTAACTTAAATGAGACTTGTCTGAAAGAGAAGAGACGTTACCTTTTATTTACCTTGTGTGAAGTTACACAACAGAGTATTTTTTCAGGTTGCTTGCTGACAAGAAACATGTCTTGCAATGTTTGTCACCCTTTTGTCAGGTTTGAGATTGTTAACAAAGTCTTTCTGCTGGAGAAATAAATGAAACTGCAGTGCTTCACCCTTTCTGGATCTTCTGAATGCGACAAAGGCGAGACTGTGCTGCCCGTGGCGATGCCGCTTTGCCAGAAGCAGCTTTTCCTCTTTGCCACCCATTGTGCAAAGTCTCCTCAGAATAGTTATATTGTACTGGTATGCGCACAGCCTGAATAAACACCACGTTTCTTCAGTTAGGGGAAGTCCTGCATCTTTTTTTTTTTTTTTTTCTGGCGCACACACGTCTCTTTTGTCTCTTAACGTATTTGAAAGGCTTTTCTGTTGCTAACAGCTGCAGGTTACAAATGTGGATGGTTAGACACAAAGTAAGGTGGTTCTAAAAATAAAGAGGTGCTAGATCGCTTCTGGAGAAAGGATGTGGTAGAAATCGGAGAGGGCAGCCCCAATCGATGTTATCCTTTTATTTTTAATTCTCCTTTACAGCTTGCTCTGTCATTGTTAGCCCAGGTGAGCTTGGGCTGGAAGTGTCTGTTGGTACCAGGTTGATTTTGCGGGGGTGTTTTGCCTCGACGAGGGTCCACGACAGAGCAAATCTCCTTCAGCCAAGGTGGGACGGAGTGAAGTGAAGGAGGAATTCCATCGCTGACCCAAGCCACTGCAGAGCCAGCCAGGAAGGGGCGAATAACCACCCACCTTGGCCTCACATCGGCCAAAGGGCCAAAACATCCTCAGCCACCCTTTTAATAACCGATTTCTGCAGGAAGAAGGAAATACTGAGAAATAAAACACCAGCACCGTGCCCGCACACCCTCTCCGCTGCCCCGGGGAGGGAAACAGGACGCTTTTACGGTGCAATTCTGTCAGGTTTTCGTGCTTTTCTCAGCATGGGGTGAACACGGTGGCTCAGGGGGGATGTCAGGCGGCCTGCCCAGGTGCTTGTCTCAGACTAAATACAGATGGAAAATGGGGGCCCCGCTCTCCAAGGGGCCAACCCCTTACCCCAGCCCCTTTTTCGGGGTGTTCCCCCTCGCTGCCTCAGTTTCTCCCCGCCACGGAGGGTGTGTGTCCCCCGCTCCGCGATGGTTCGCCCCCCCCAAGCCCCCCTTTTTCCCCGGCGCAGTGGTTTCTCCCACCACCGGCTGCTTCGCTCCTTTCACGCTCCGCGCCTCGGCGGGAAAGCGGCGCGCGCGCTCGGCGCGGGAAAGCTGAGCGGAGGGGTGGGCGGGGCTTGGCGGCGCGCGCCGCCCCGTCCCCTCAGGGCGGGAGGCGTAGAAGGACGATAAGATGGTGGCGGGTAACGCCCGGCCTCCGGCCCTTCGGCTTCACGGGGCCTCCCGGGCAGAGGTGAGGTGTCAGCGTCTGCCGGCTCCCCCCCTCGCTGCCAGGAGGAGGGAACTGGGGCCCCGGAGCTGAGGGGGGTGAGCGGTGTGTGTGGGGTGGGAGGTTGTGAGGGGAGGAACCGCCCGGTGAGGAGCGGATCCGCCTGGCTCCCTTGGAAAGAGGGGAGCCGTGGTCGATAAAAGGCATATCCGCGAAAGTGCGAGGCTATCTTCCTCCTCCAGCTGCCTGCCGTGTGCGCCCCGTCGCAGAGCTGTGCGAACCTCCGGAGTTAAAGAGCCGAGAGCGGTGTGAACACCCCAAAAACGAGTGATGTTTCTGCACGGAGAGATAGCAGAAGCGAGTGGTGAGGCGAGGAAGTGTTATAGCCTGAAATCCCAGTAGAGTCACTTGCTGAGGCTGTGGAGGGGAATACATTGAAATGTTTGGTTTCAGGAAAAATAAGTTATTTTCTGACTCTTTTACTATTTTTTTTTTTTTTTTAAATCTCCCCCTGCAAGCAGTGTTTGATCTCATCGTTACGGTTTTTACATTTCCTGTCATAGTAAAAAGCCAAGAAAAAAAGATGTCTTGTTGTGGTGTGGAGTCCGGAAGAATGACTACTTAAGTCTACTGTATAAACAGATGTTTTTAAAATCACTGCAATCTGCTATTTTAAGCGTATCATTACTCGGATGAATTCACACGGCTGTTGCCAGGTTGATGCCAGGAGGTTGCGTGTGAGCATCTTCTTCACACGGAGTTACCTGAGGTTAGCAAGTTTAAAAAAGCGCTTACAGCTATTTGTAGCCTTGTTAATATTTTGAATATATTTGCCCGCTGTTAGCACCTCGCTGGAACCTTTGAAATCTTCAGGAGGTGTCTGAATACTGCACAGCTGAGAGTCACCAATACAATTTATCCTTCACAGCCTGCAGTGGTCCTGATTTTCCAGCAGGATCATTTTCTCCAGCGTTTTCAGGGCAGGGGAATTTGGCAGACTTTGTCTCCTCGTTCACAGCCATTGATGCTGAAGGCACGCTCAGTTGATGAGCTTCTGCACAGGCACTGTGGCTAATTTTCACATTGCTTTGAGAAGAGGGTGTAGCTACTACTACTTCTAGCTACTCTGTAAGAATGTTGTTGGGAGCACAGTTTCTCTTGGATGGTAGCAGGGAGATATGCTAAGTTTTGACTTCAATTTATCAACCGTCTGCCTGTGTGGTATTTTGCTTTTATGTAGACTCTGAGCCTTTCAGAAAGGGCTGTCTTGTTCTTTTTGTAACATGCTGTTCTCAGGCTAGCAGAAATAATTTATGCCTGAACCATTTTTGTGGATTTGTGTCTGGATTTCCTCTCTTTCCCTGCCTTGCCCAGGCCAAACGAGTGTGAACTTCTGCTGTCGGACTTCATTCAAAGCTATTGGGGTCTACTCATATCACTAAATTTAGTGCATGTACTTTAGTATTGTGCTGCCAGAACTCTGGAAATGTTTGGGCTTTCTCTGTTTTCTTTAATCCCTGGTCAGAGAGTAGTTTAAGATTTTTGATTTTTTTTTTTTTTTTTTTTTTCTTGAAACTCTTGAATTCGGTGCATCCTATCAGCAGCACCGGTGCAAATACGCAATTCCAAAAACCTAAATCTGGAAATGGGTATAAAAGCTTCCTGTGTCACGTTTATATATGGTGTCCTTCTCAAATTGTGCTTACATCAGTCAGAGAAGCTGGAGGACAGTTGCCATCTCTGAATGCCATTACAGCTTTGTGGAGAGAAACCAGAGGGAGAATAGCAATAATGTAAACAAAGGCTGAGGTTTTTAGGGAGGGGTGACCTCATTTCCTATTAACTGCTGTGTCAGAAAAGCTACATGGAATACACTTAAATAACCTCTGGGCAAGGTTACATGCTGCATGGCACTCTGCAGTGTATTTTAGCAGTGCTTTCAGCAAGAAGTGCTACAGCGATAGCGGTGAGGGAAGGACTGTGCACAACAAGGCAGTGTTCACGTCGCTTGGTGAAAACATCTCGGGAACAGAAGAAAACTTTGGAGAAAACCGTTGGGTTTTTTTTCACCCCCTCCCTTTTAAAATCTTTTGCAGTCTGCCTGCATTAAGCTACTGAAGAACTTAAGACCGAATGGTTTTCTGATTTGTGTTGTAACACTTTGAGCTGTCACAGAAGTTCTCACATATTCTCCAAGATGGATTTGGGGGCAATTTTATTGTACAGGGGGAGCAACATATTTTCAGGTTTAGCTCAGATGGCTTAAGTATATGTTGAAGGGCAGCTTGAGGGTTTTTTTTTGAAAAATTTAGTCAGAACTTGTTAGCAACATGCTTTCTCTTTTTTTCTACTCTCGAGACTTTGTAATAAGAGTTGGCTGATGATGGACTACACTTCCCAGCAACTGAACTGTGTTATATTATAACAGTCTCTTTTTCTTGTTTTCTTCAAAAAGATGAAAATGGCTCTATTCAATTGTCTCTGGATTTCTTAATTTGATTAAACTATATTTCTTCATTCTTTTTGTAGCAATAAAAATATGGTGACACGAGGGAATGGTCAGGGTTCATCATCTGTCTGAGTTAGAGTTGTGGCAAAATAATGAGTTTGTTAAGGAAAAAGTAAAAGGTGATAAAAATGTAACAGATATTTAATTAAAAGTGGGGAGGACGTAAGTTAGGTACAGCACTTCGGCATGAAAGAACACCTTTATTTAAAATAACATTTTAAATTTTTGTTACAGGAAACATAGGGGGTGATCTGTGCAAGCCTTTCATAGTTACTTAGCCGGGGTGAGCCAGATTATAGCTTTCCGTGGGGAGACAGGAACAGAAGGGGCAGGTGCATCTTCACCTCTGACAAAAAAACATTTATTCCAGTGAATTATTTTTTTATATGGAGATAGCAAAACCCCAGAGGTACAAGAGACCACGAGCTTGTCATGACAACTCTTATACTGTTAAATAGTGTTGTTATACGTATATTGTAGCGATTAAAATTTCCTCGGTGGGTCATACTCCCTGATTACAATTTAAATGGTTTTGGAAGTGTGCGATCACCTGAGAATAATTGCTTGGAAATTACTTCTTGCATGGGAAGGAGGCAAAGGTGCATTTCAAAACCTCCCACATGCTTTTCTTTCCCATCCGAGGAGCATTTCCTGGCTAAATAAAGCAGTTCAGCTGTATTTCGCAGGCAGTCCCCGTAAGCCTCTGCGGGAAGGAGATGGTTCCTAAGGTTCACGATTGCAGTCCTGGATCCCGTACCTTGTAGCTATTGCACAATAGAGGAAAGACTACAATTCCCATAGTACTTCCACATACTGGTACTCCAGTGACATCAGACATTACATGGCTGAGACTGGTTGTAAAGCAAGAAGACCAAAAATGTAAGCTTGGTGTTTCTTTCACTTCTGTAGCAGGGCCTTTGTCAGTGTGAAATCTTTGCTTACCAGGGGGTGATTTCAGTTGCTGCAGAGGTATTTGAAAGGGCGCGTATCTGAAGAAAACATGAGGTGACATTTAAGGGCAAGCAATTTGTACTGCTTCTCGTAGTGTTGGTGCAGCTTAGAGACTCCTCTGTCTGGCAATAGCTGTGTGGAGTAATTGCTTAATGCCAGCACTGCTAGTTTGTCTCGAGGGGCCGCTTCCTCGCCCGCAGCCCAGAAATCTGCTTGCTGCTTTTTGCATTTTTTTTTTATTTTTTTTTTATTTTTTTGTTTGTTTTTTTTTTGGTCCTGCAGATTCAAGGGGGTGGAGGAGAGACGCTCTCCATAGCCTGGCAACAGTTTCGGTGTGCGTGTAGTAACTGAGGTGCGTAGCGCGCGCGTCCCATGGCAGGGCAGGTAAGGGAGGTGCAGCGGCACCGTGGGGGGCTACGCCACCGCACTTGGAAGCCCCCGGGGATCAGCTGCTGCTGCAGTGCTCTGGTGTGTACAACTGGCACGTCTGAGTGCCTGGGTTTGCCTTTGCTTCCCCAGGGGCCCGTGTCGCTGGGAGGAATGCAGGCAGGGAATGGCTGGTGCAGGTTGGTCTCGGTGGAAGTTGATTCTCGCAACGGGCTGAGGTTTACGGGGGGTTTTGTTCTTCAGGAGAGGTGCTAGGTGTCTGGAGCAATACTGATATTTTAAAAAGCTGGAAAATAATCCAGCAAAGTGATTTCTGCAGTGTAATACTTGCTTAGGTTGCTATAGTTTAAAGTAAGTGTGATGATTTTTTTACCTGATAGTGCCCAGCCTTTCAAGTGATTGCGTATTGTAGAGTGCCTGACAAAAACAAAATTCTCCACACACGAATGTCTCTTCATGTTGATCGCCAGGCTCTCCTAATAGGGACAATGTGGAGTGACTTACAAAGTGGATGGGAAACTTGGGAATACTCGCTGTCATCCTTTCACTGAGAAATGTAATAACTTCTCAAGCAGGTAATAGATCCCCTTTCGTTTCTCTTTAGAAACAGTTTAGATCTGTTAAATGACATTGTGACAGTGTTTGCTCAGGTCTGCAATCCTGAAGACATCTACTTAGTATTTGAATTTCACAAAGTGAGGAGCTGGTCAAGTAGGAAAATTAGCTTTGTATCTAATCTTAGTAGTCTAATTAATATACAAATCTGTATATAATGATATATAGTGTATACAGATCCTTGTGCAGCTGATTTTAAAAGTTATATTTATTTGACCACGTATGCTGGCTTGTAACTTCAAAGAGTTTGCTCTCATACATTCAGTAGTTGATCATTTTAGCATTTCTGTTTGTTTAAAAAATATATATGGTAAGACATTTTGATTTAGTGGAGTTTAAATTGTACTAGATAGGCCATCTGTCAAAATGAATCTGGAAAAATAGTTTGTAACTTCAATTGGAATTTTATATTCCTAAACAAAAAGGTTCACTGAGAGTATATTAATGCTGATAATCCTGTTTTGCAGCAACATGTATTTGAAAGGACATAATTTACAAATTCTGCACTTAAGCTGCCTTTGGATTAGTTGACTCTAAACTGAGTGGAAGTTCAGTTGAAAACTCTGTACCTGTTTGTTTAATAGTCCCTTGTGTTTCCCTGTCTACCAGGAGACAATGCAGCGTGACATGTAGTAAGAATTATAAGTGAAGGTGACTATATGGAGGTAGATGGTATTAAGTTCCCTTTTATTTCTGTGGAGCTTTCTGAATATGTTATTCAATTACTTCAATGTGTATTTGCTGACTAGATATTTTGAATCTTGTAGGCTACTTGGTGCTAGATGCATTACAGTAGCTGTCTTTTGCTGCCTTTGTAAGACTTTCCCTTAGCAGCCCCAAATTTGAACTTTTGAATAATAGCATGTTACAGCTGAGCTGTGTTCACTGATTTTTACAACTGTGGCAACTTCAGGTCAGTGTTTCATGAATGGTGTTTTTACTTTTTTTTTAATTGGGGATTAGTGTTTTAACAGATTTTATAAACAAAAATCACTCGCTGAAGCAGTCATTTTTGTATGCAAAAGTTGTGGGAAATAGTAGGACTCCAGTGTTTGGAGTAAAACACTGCAGCTTTGGGCCATGGTTAGGGTGTGTAGCTATATAAAAATATATTATTAAAAACAATATCGGTAACTTTTTTTAATAGTTTAAATGAATTGCAGATTAGGGCTTTGTTTCTAAGCTACCTGCTGGCAAATTACTCATTTTTTTCAAATTAATGAAGCAAGAATGGCGGGAAGTGGGGAGGTTACAAATTTGAATTTTTAAAATTACTGTCTTTAGGAAGGCTGAAATGATGATAATTGCACATATGTAACCACAGTTCCTGGTGGATACATGTGTATCGCATGGTTTCCCAAGTGTTTACAATGTTTAATTTCCTATCATTGACATTCCAAGTTTTAATACAAATGTTGCAGAAATGTTCTGTGCATTTGGGTTTTTTTTTGGCTCAGGAAGAAGTACCTCACAGAGGTGCTGGCATACTGTGTCAAGAATAATGCTTCAGAAAGGTGGCATTGAGGAGCAGATTGGAATTTCTTTCCCAACAAACTTACTGGGGTGTAGCTTTGTAAAGGCCTAAATATAAAAAATTTAAAACGGGTGTGTTAGAGAAGTGTGGGTCTTCAGAAGTAACAGCAGCTTTCCTGGGTAACTTGATTCTGGAACTTGTAACCCCTCAGGTAGTGTAGGTGGAGGCTTTTAAGCTTTCCTCATGATCTCCCTGCAATATTAAGGTAATGTTTCAAATATTTTTTTTTTTTTTTTTTTTTTTATTCCTGGAGGATTAGATGTACTGTAGCACGTGGAATTGCAAAACCTGTCACTTAGATACTCTTCCACGATGGGTCAGTGTGTCTACACGTGCACACTGCATCTCTCTGGAAGTGCAATATAAATCACCTGAAGATACTTCTATTTGTATTACTCTGAAAAACAGGCATTCAGATTAGCAACATTCCCATTAATCGGTGAGGAATAATTTGAAGTGAAGTTTCATATTTACTGTGGCTTCTGTTTGATCAGTGCAATACGACTGTGGAAAGTGTGTGTGTGTCCATCTGTATGTCCATATGTATACGGGGAAAACATTGTCCTTGTCTTCAATGGACAGGATACGTGGGGGCAGAACGCACCAGAATTAGTAGGGTGACTACACATGTGATGACTGTTTATAAGGTTAATTTAAATTTTCTAGTGTTAATTTTAAAAAGTGTTGATGGGGATGTGAGGGGACATTAAATTCCTAAGAAAGTCCAGGGCGGGGGGGGTGATTTTTTTTTTTTTTTTTTTTTTGTTTTTTTTCAGGATATCTAATGGGTAAGCTGTTGAGGAGTCTGTCGTTCTTCCAGTAAGCTTTGACCTGTCCATCAAATTCAGTCACACTGAGGGAGAGGCGGGTGGATGTCTCAGTGATCGTGAATTTCCATAAATGCCATGATGTGGACAGCCTCACAGAAGAGAGATCCAGATTTGTCCTCGCAGGGAGAAAGGCTTCCATGGGATTTTAAGCATTTTGCTTATCCAGCCACACTGGATAAGCAAAATAACTTAACTGGTCACCGTTAAGATGAGCAGGGAAGGACTGGGGAGACCAGTAGGAAAACTGCTGCTGTTAGGATGAGCTTGGGCCAGGGTGTGAAAGTGTAGGAAGCCAGTCATCAGTTTTCCCAGCTGATGGAACAGCTGGATACCTTCTGGTGTTGTGCTGTGGTCAACTGTCTTTCTGTTTAAAGTTGGTTTTGAACAATGTCAGAAGAAAATAAAAGTGTTTACAAATTCAGGAGGTGATACTGAACTACTCAATGAGAATGTTTTAATTTTTTTTTTTTTATTTGTCAATTTATTGCAATGCAAGCTGGCAGTACTGCTTTGACTAAAGCAGTGGCTTCTACTAAAGCTCTAACGTAGCACCCTCGTATCCTGAAGATATCCCAAAAGGCCTTTCTAGTAATTAATTATTTACCAGCAGTGCAATAAGCATGTGTTTATCTCAACCCCTAAAAGCTGACAGCCACAGAAAGTTACCATTGAAAATCCATTTTTCCCAACAAGGGTGTACTGGCTGGAGCACAGAGGTAGCACTCTTACCTTTTTTTGAACAGCTGTGTAAATTTTAAGCTTGGGTTGGACTCTTACAGAGGTTGTGAAGCCTGATGAAGCACCTGCAATGCTTTGAAAATCTCCCATGATTTGAAGCAATTCCTGTTTCGAGGTGTAAATGGATTGTTGCTTGGGATTTCAGGTTCCAACTAATGCTTTGTGAAACCCGCTTTCAAAGTTGCGAACGGTTACATTGTGTCACAGAGGCAGCGATTAGCCAAATCATTAATGTGTTTCATTAAATCTGCTTTGACAGAAGAACAGCTGATAAATCACAGATAGTTAAAAGGTCAGTAACGGTTAGCGGCTTAGACACATATTGACTGAACAAATCATCATGGGTTGCATAAAGATATTACTAGTCATCCCTTCTGAAAGAAAATGATGTAATAAAACTGGCACCTAGGAGCTGTTGCGTGCATCTGAGTCATTTAATTGCAGAGCCCACTATTTTAGCTTAAATACAAGGAGCCTAATCTTCCCCTCTGTGGTTCACGGAGCTTTTTGTAGCGCCGAGGGTTGTATTGCTGCAGCTCTTCCCTTGCAATACGGCTGGTGTATTGTACATGCGCTGAAGACCAGTTGGTGTAAGAGCTGTGAGCTCAGAGCTTCCCAGAAGCATCGAGAGGCCTACACTGATGTTTCACCGAACTGTTCTGCAACCCGTTCCCTGGCTGCAGGCTTTCCTCTCGGTGTGAGCGTGTTTCTCTGCTGCATGGTGATGGGAAGGCTGTAGGAAACCCTACAGAAGTGACTATCAGAAATGGATTCACTAATTCTTCCAGCTCTTAACCCGTTTCCAGCAGATGGTTGGAAAAGAGAAGAGCAGGGACTTGGCTGCGGGTTGAACAAATCATTGTAGCGGAATTCAGATTGGACATCAGATTAGGTAAATCCTTAGTTCTACCATTCAGCAGGTCAGCCACAGACAGGTGTGGGTATAGTCTGACATCTTATTTCTTTAGAAGAGCGGGTGCTTTGTTAAGTTTCAAGATTTTATCATAATACAACTTATGCACACTTCATCTTGATTTATCTTTATTGTAAAAGCAGCCCTTCCCCCCTTCACTGCTTCCACCAGTGGAAGGTTTGTGTCAGTGAAGATGAAGTTTTACATTTGTGTAATGCACAGACTTTTGCTGTGTCATGTCATGCAAATGGCTGCAGTTGGAGAGACGGCATGCGTGCGAAGTGCAGGCGTGTCAGTAGGCAGTGACAACTTGATAATCTGCTTTTCAATAAAGGAAGTATAGGAGGTTATACTGTAACGGGTTTAAATGGATATCCAGAGAGGGAAGGGTTTCAGAATTGGCATGTTCTACTTTGAGTGCTCTTGGGAACATGCTTTTATCACACCTGGTTTTGGATAACAAGGTGTGGCAGGAGCCAACCTTGCCTTGGCTGTTGACGGAAGCTGAGTGAAGATGGAGTGGAACCCTTTAAATGGGTGCAGTCCCAGGTATTTGAGGCTTGTTTGTCCTGTCATGCAGTTCTGTGGCAGACGTGTGCTGTTGAGCAGGATCCTGGGGTGAGCTTATGAGCTGGAATAGCAGATGTGTGACGGAGTAAGCTGAAGAGAGGAGCTTTGCCAGGCAGCCTGCCCCTGCCTGCATGATCCCTCGGTGCAGCACGGTGCAGTTGGCTTACTCGTTCTGGGACTCCAGCTGACCTGTGGTCAGCAACTCTCCTATCTGCTGAGCTGTTCTGTCATGTGGGATCTCACAGCAATAAAGCAACATCGTCGTAACTGTGTGCATGTGTACGGTGTAGGTGGTACTGGGGGAGCTGTGGGCAGTGCGATGCGGAGAGATAGTGGGGGGAGCAAGGAGGGGTAGCTAGGAATGAGTTTCATGTATCCAAAGTACAACTTTGACAGACCTGGTCATTATTGCCTTTTTTTTTTTTTCTTTCCTTTTAAATAGGCTAAGTCTGGCCTTAAGAATCTAAATTTCTGCTTGCATGGCAATGCTGCATACTCCAGAGAAGAGAAGTTGTATACTGTTAACAAGGACATGGTCAAACAAAGTGCTGCCCCTGGTCATTACAAGTCACAGGTGAGTCCAAAAAGTGAATTTGCTTAGGTAAACAGCAACAAATACTTGCATGGTATGTTGGGTTTTCTAACTAAATCTATCGAATAACCACATAACATAGAAACCCTCAACACTTGAAGAGAATGCTACATTAGAGCTGCAGCAGCTTTCACTATTTGTGCCAGTACAGGGGAGTAATCCTCTGTTCATGGAAGTCAGCAATTCCTCAGTCAGTCTGCCTTTGAGTGCCTCTTGCCAAGGGCATTTGTGACACCACAAAGTCTTCTGAAGAACAACTGATGGAAGTTACCACAGACAAAAAAAAAAAAAAAAATCTTTGATTATGTGAAATGAATGTATTTAGAAGCTAGTGTTTAAAACAAACAAAACAAATGGCCCAGTAGCCCTTGAATGTTCTCAATAGTAATTGGGCTACAGAATCTATATATTGAACAAGCACCTCGTAAATGTATTCCTTCTCCTCCCTGCCATGCTTTAAGTGGTGCTTTTTTATATGATTTTGACCCAACTGTCTAAGAAAGGTCTGAACAAACTTGATTCCTTTCTCTTAAAAAAAAGTTTCTTATTTCTTTGATTGCTGAAAAGGAGCATTTCCCTTTGCTGCAACAAGCCTTTCTGGTGATATGAAATTAGGATTTAGGAGGAAGTCTTCAGTAATCTGCCATTTTTATGGTTTTGTCCCTGGTATTAAGAGATAGCTGAATAACTGACCTATTTTCTCCCCTGGTTTTCGTTTTTGACGTATACCTGTCACTTGTTTACTTCTGCTGGTTTGTTTCCCAGGTAACCCAAGAAGGTAATTTATAGAATTCTGATTTAATTTCTTTATCCACCAGTTTCAGAGAATTACTAGCAGCACATCTTGAATAGGTTAACTCGTGTGCTGTAGATTAAGATGGATGTAGGTAGGACTTATTAGAAGTCTTAAGTCAAAACCCAAAACAATGCTTTTTCTTATGGTTGCCTTATCTTGCCAAGAAAAACAAGAAATAAACAAGAAATATTTATCCTGCCAAGAAATCTGAGAACAATACACTCAGTGTAGAAGTAATAATACCGTGCAGTGCTGTCATTTAGTGATGTTATGATAGATAGTTATAAAAAGCCTCTGCGAGCAGTGCTCTGTAGCAGTGAGTTCCTGCAGTTTCAAGATAACTGACTGTAAAAAGGCTTTTTTCCTAATTTAGCTCAAATGCTTTTTTGGAAAATCAAGAACTTTCTGTTATAGGGGGACGTTGTCAATAAAAGTAATTTCTTCTAATTATACACTGAAGCAAATATTTAGCTCTGATTACATTCTTTTTTATAGTCTGATTACATTCTTTTTTATAATATACCCTTTCAGAAAATTGTTAGTCTGATACAAGCCACAGACTGCTCTTGCCTCCGAACAGGAGGAGAGCAATGTCCTGTTGAATTTTTTCAGTCTGTGTTCTCTAATGCTGTGGTTCATTCAGGTGCCCCAGATACACATAATGTCACTGCAAACGTTTCATACAGTTGTCGTGATGTAGTGGTCTCTATGAAAAGTCCCAAAAACTCCTTCCAGTCTGCTTGAGGGGCCTTCACTGCTCTGTCAGCAGCTGTTACTATCTCAGAACAGACGGTTACAGTCTTGAACTGTTTCCTGTACTTACCTGGACATCACAAGAAACAAAGCATTTCCAGTAATGAGAAATAATATTTGAGGCTCCTGCTGCATTCACAGTGCTGTAAAATCTTCAGACAGAGAATTTTCAGAAGATCATGGATCTGTCTCCTAGCTGCCCATCCTGAGCAGTGGGGGTGAGACAAAGTTTTCTTTGGAAAATTTTTCTCGTACCTGTGTCCAAAGGCACAGGGTGGGCACACTGGAACTTCTGCACGTCTTTTCTCCTGATCATCCTCAGCAGTGCTCAGGACCCAACTGCACAAGGTCCTGAGCAGGCTGCTCGGAGTGGGGGCCTTGACTTCAAAGGTCCCTTCTGACCTCAGCTCTTCTGAGATTCTCTGCAGAATTCTCTGTTCCCAACGCAATTTATCGTTTATCAAATCTCTTACCAAGATCTGTAGATTTTGTCTGGCTGTACGTGCCCGTCAGCTGTGCTAGCTTGGCACTGGATTTGGGAGAGAGCAGGGTGAGGGGTGAGGGAGTAACAGCCTTCCTCAAGGTCTGTCCCCTCGCTGCTGGAGCAGTGAAACCATCTACGTAATAACAGCAAATCCTTAGCACACAGCCTGGACGGGGCAGAAGCACAGAGGAGCCAGGCAGCAAAAAGTGAGTCGGTGTGTAGTGGAGCACAGGACTCATGTCACAGATACCGTAGCAATGTCAATGCCTAATAGCTTTGATACAGTTTAATTTCATATATATTTATAGTTGAAATGTTAACATTATACTGATGAAATTCTACTCCTCAAATAAAAAAAAAAACCAACAACAAAAAAAACCCCAAACAACAAAAAAACAAACTTTGGAAGAGCTAAATACAAAGAACTGCATGAGGCTTTTGGAAATAGTGAATGTTTTTTTGTAAGTGCTTCAGTTTGCTTACTCAGTTGTGATGAGCTGCTTGCAGAAGTTGAAAGCCCTCTGTATGCATTTGAAGATAAGATGTGACTTAATAACAGTGTTAGATGTCTTGGAAAAAAGTGTGTTCAGTTTAGTATGCAGGGAGAGCGTTTAGTACATGCACGCTTCCATTTTACAGGAAAGAACAGAAGCTGTGTCTTGTTATGCTTTGAAAGAAAAAAAAATCCGTTGCAATGAAGTATCTAGGTTTTAGATGTAAGTTTTTTGTTGTTTTGAGAGGTAATGTAGTGAGAGCAGTGGCTTTACTATGATTTTCAGGGTGGAAAGAATGAAATAACAGCCCTACTGATGACTGTAGGAGTTATCATTTGATTTTTTTTTTTTTTTTTTGAGACAGCATTTAATTCGTTGCTTTTTAAGGTTGGAATTCAGAGCACAACACGTCTCTGCCTCTACAGGCAGTCTTCTCTTTGCAAAGCCAGTTACAGAGGTTATGACTGAAATTCAGTAAAGAACTTTGAAACTAAATCAAGCTGTAGGAGACAATGCATTGTTTTATTTCCCCCCCCCCCTTTTTTTTTTTTTTTACTGTAATTTGTTAATACTTTGTACGTAAAACACAGATGAGAGTTTCTCAGTTAATTTGAAATTCTGTTTCACTAGGTGGAATGACAGACTCCAGTGTTTTGGAAGTCTGAGTGATGAGGTTGTATCTAGGGTACATGAAGTACCTCCTCTACTGATCTTTAGTCACATTGTCCTGCACAACTCACATTAGCAGTGATTAATGACTCTGAAAATAAGAGATAAATCCATTAGTTACAGATCCTATTTTTAATCTATGCAAAAGCATTTTATACTCCAGCCAAGGAGCATAATTTATCTTTGTTGCTTCCTAGTAGACTAAACAAGACCAGGGCCCCAGCATGGGCATGTGCTTGTTGATACTGCTAAATTGGTGCTAAAATTTTGGCCTTGGTCAGCTACTGCTTTCCTAAATGATAGCTGTGTGTGGTTCAGAAGTCATTTGTAGCAGATAATTTGGATACCACCCTCCTCCTCCTCTGCAGGGTAAGAATTTACCTGTACACAGGACCACTGTCCTGTCATTTAGTTTCTGGGGCAGGAAGTTGTTCTTGTCTTTTATTTAGTGACACAGATAGTGACAGTGTGCTTGTATGGAATGTTACAGAATATGTGTCTAGCTTCCGCAGGGTTATAGCACCTATAATTCTGTTACTTAATGTTTGAATGTGTAAGACAAGTTTATAGCGAGTGATAAGCCTTTAGTGTAAACTTTTTTAAATCAAAAAAATTCACTAAACGGTTGTTCTGTCCTGCTCATGGAGGTGGACTCTTTGTTGGAATATTTTGTGTTTTCAGGGATATAGCAGGGATAATTGCTCTTCCCTTTGTTTTCTCAGAAGGGGTGTGTATGCCTGTGACATGTGCATTTCCAGTCATATAGGCTAGAAGATTCTGAGCTTGTGAACGTGACACACAAATACCTACAATGTGAAATCTGTAGAGAATTCCTATTATTGTATAGTAAGTAATTTTTATTATTTATTTACTTATTTTTAGAAAATGCATACATTGGCCAGATTTGGACTGCTTGAAGGCAGGGGAGGGATGTTTTAGACTGTATCCTTTTGTCATAGCTACGTTTCATTTTCCTGAAAAATTATTTAGCTCAAGGTATAAAAGGAAGGGGTTTGCTTTTTTATCTTTGCTACTCATTTACGTGAACGTCTAATGTTAAAACGGTTTCCTTTTCTTTTCTATATAGGTAAATAGCAAGAAACAAAAAATGGACACTCAATTATTTTCCCCATTATTAGGAGCAATTACTAGTACGCCACCTCCGCTAGAATCTTCCCGTCTGTATAGTGACTGGTCAGCATGTGGAGAGGAAATTAGCTCAAAAGCTTCTTTTCAAGACTGCACAAAGAAACGGTATGAGTGTTCTTGGTATAATCTTACGGTGGTGTTCTGGAACAGTGAAATTATTATGGAGCAGAACAAGTGTGATTCCAATCTTTTTAGGAACAGTTTATGGGATAACTAGAAACTCAGTAAATTTTCTTTGCTGTATAATAGTTATTATAGAGGTTGTGAAAAAAGGTACGAGGTCTGTGTGTGTATAGATGTATGTGTTTACATGTGAAAACATTTTAAAATTTGGAAAGAATACTACGTTTAGGGAATGAAGTGGGAAACTGTCCTATATAATTGAAAACTCGTTCAGGGGAAAAAAAACACAAACCACTCTCCTTCCATGCCTCCCATTTCTCAGTACTGCAGCTCATAATGATCCTGCTTGATAATGCAGAGTATTTCCTGGAACATGAACAATGCAGAGAGTGTTAGACACAGGTCGAGTGTTAGTGGTACTTCTGCTGCTGAAAGCATAAATATGCATACAGCTACTCTTGAAAATATGCCAGCCTACTGTCTTGTGCCCCTGATGTAATGCACTCAGTTTGATATTATATTAAAAAATATATTTTTGCAGTTTTGGATGCTGAATGAATGCAAAGGGTCTTTGTTGCTTAAATCATGAAACGTTTTTATTCCCCTGGAGAAATACACTCTGCTCAAGTCTTGACTGTTGCAGGCACTTATGATCGTCCAGTCTTAATAATGCAGTAAAATTAAGGTGCAGAGAAGGGTAGCAAGGCTGGACAGGATTTGAAAGCTTCAGTGTCAGTGGAGAGTAAATAAAACTCCTCTTTGGTTTTGAGAAGTCAACTCTGCAGAGGATTTCTATAAAATCATAAATTATATGACTACAGCAAGGGGCAGGGAATGATTATAGAAACTAGGGAGTACCCACTGAAATAACTGGTTCTCTCCTTCATATTGGCCACTTTATGGCTTGTGTACAGCAATTGAAATTGTAATGTTAAAACTCTTCCAGCTGTAGAAACGTGTAAACAATGATTTCACATTAGGCTTGCTATTCTCTTCTGTCCATCTTAATGCCAAGTGTTGGCAACATAATATTGCATCTATACGCTGAGCATGACATTACACGATGTGGAATATCTGGAATATGGAAATGACCAGTTTGGGTCCGGTGCTCTGGCTGTGCTCCCTCCCAGCTTCTTGTGCACCTGCACACAGGCAGGACACGGGGAGTTGAAAAGTCCTTGATTTCTTAGCAACAGCTAGAACCATCAGTGTATTATCAACATTATTCTCTTACCAAATCCCATGCTGAAGCCAAAACACAGCACTATTCTAGCTACTAAGAAGAAAAAATTAGCTCTATCCCAGCCGAAACCAGGACACTCCCCAAAGGAAGACAATAGTTCTGTCTAATTTCTGTCCTCAAAAGCTATGGACATGTCCACACCTTCAGTTCTAGACTTAATCACAAGAGCTGAAACAGCACACAGGTGTGGCAAAGGTACCATTTCCAGTTGCCTGTTGCTCTTTGGTCTTCTGCAACACTTCTCCTCCTCCCAGTACCTTGGAAGTTTTGCCAAGGAGCTGTAGGTCTTGGTTCTTTTGTTTTATTTCTTGTTCTTTCCCTCTGTGAAGGGGCAGGCTTGCTCGCTGCTGTGCCCTCGGTGTCAGGCTGGATGTTTGTATTCTATTTGGTATAGTTGCAAGCAATTTGGTATGGTTTTGCCTTTCCCGTGTGCTGGTTATTTTTATGGATTCTTTTTATGATGCTCTGCCTTGGTAGGCAGTAGGTTGTCTTATAGTACCAGGAGCTAAAAATTTGATTCCTTCATGCTGCAGAATCAAGGCATTTTACAGCAAGTGTTCTCTGGTACCAAACCAGAAAGGATAGTAGCTGCCTACCTTGGAGTTGAGAAAACTGAATGCCTCTTACACTGGGATTTTTGGTTGTTCTTTTGTTTTGGATTTTTTTTTTTTTTCCATTTGTTCTGTTGTTGATGGAGGGTACTTTATTTGGAGACCATAAGACAAGGATGTCGTTGACTACTTTTCCATGTGTGTCAGCATGTTTCATGGGAAGTATCTTCCCTTCAGGATGGATCAGGACTTTACAATACAAGATGCTTCCCGATGTGTTACATTACCAAGAATTTTCAGATTGCTGATAATGAACAGCACTGGCTTGAGATGCAAGGTGTGGGAGGGGTTTCTAGTCCCTCATTTGAACAAGTGACTGCATTAAGAAATAGAATTTGTCAAGGATTCAGATTCTGCTGCCTCAAATTGCATTGTAGTATTTCTGGTGTATGTACCAGAAGAAATAGCTGAACATTTAACCTCACTTCTGTCTAGTCTGTAAAATTTGTTTGGACAATTTTAGACTCGCTGCTGTCCTGTGATTGTTCTTTCCTATGTTTTTTTTTTCTGTAGTCCATCCAGCTTCCTGCAGCCTTGTCCACAGTTCTAAAATGGACAGTAATTTTATTTTTAATTTCCATGCTACATTGTAAATTGATTTCTCCCTTGGTGAAAGTCATCCAGACACAAACTTTCATCTATGATTTCCAGTTGGTTGCAGAAATTGGAAGTAAATAGACGTCCTTTTTTTTAAAAAAAAAAAAAAGCTTGCCTTCTGACAAAGGCACAGAAGAGATCTGGTTATCAAATATCAGTTGGAGTTCTACATCCATAAAGCATTTTCAGGAATCTTTGCATTTATGTATACCCTAAACGAAATCACAGACCAAATTCTTTACAAAGGAAGCTGAATTGTCATGATGTAAATAATAGGAGTAGTTAGAAGGCAAAATTTAATAAGGTCTTGAAAGCTTGTACGGCCTAAGTGTCTTAATTTTCACTGTGGTGAGAGATTAACAAAGTGATAGTCTTAATAGTTTATCCTATGTTTTATAGTCTTTGTTAATTGGCAAGATCAGCATGAGTAATTATGTGGCAGCACTAACAGACCATGTAGTTGTTTGGATAAACTGACGCCAGGGAAGACTGAGAGATCTTCAGGGACACTGGAGCGCATCAGCTGAATGAGAATAGGATGATGAGTGAAATTTATTGAAGCAAAACAATGCATGTTAGAGGGAAGGACATCTTAATAGTGTTCTGTTTTAATCAACTCCTGAATAAGAGGTGTCGCTACAGACAGCTCTGTAAAGGTCTCAGTTTACACCTGAAGTAAAAGATAAAATTTGGGCTTGTGTAAGAGGAGTGATGGTTGAACACCTTTGATATTTATCAGGAATATTAAAGTTTTGACCAACACCTTTCTAAAAGGGGATTAAAAAGGAGTTCAATTTAGGTATAACTTAATTCTTTTGACATTAATATAATACTACTTGAATTACGGAAATAGAAAAATTAGAATCCTCAAGATTTTGAGAAGATTGATCATGTTAATCTTCTAAAGGAGACAGTCAGGATTTGGAGAAATGTCTGTAAAAAAATTTATATTGATTGAAAAGAAAGGAAAATCTTTTGCTGCTCCTGTCTCTTCACATAACAGCTTGGCGAGGCAAGAAGTTAGGAGAATTGTTCTTCATTTAGGCTACAGAATTAACGGATGCAGGAAGAGGTTTCTATATATGAGTGCTGAGAATAAATTAAATTCAGAATCTTTAGCAGATGCTGTTAAAATAAATGTTTAATGCTTTACTTTTTTTGCCTGTTTTGTTTAGGAGAAAAAGGTTTTTATTTATCTAGACTTTTGTGGTGTTGGTTTTTTTTTTCAGGGCACCAATAAATCTTTCTTACTCTGGCAATGGCCCAGATATGTTTGGGCTAGTGTCAAGCATTTTAGAGGAGCCAAGCAAGCCAGAACCAGCTACGGATTGGTAAGTTTGTTTTAAAAGTTATGATGCTGGGTGTTGTTTTTTTTACATCCTTTGTCACACAGTTATGATAAACATTTGGAATTATTTCACAAAGTTGAGTAACAAAAGTCTCATAAATCCCCTTGAAATGTAGAAGTGTTGTTCTTCAACTGCCAGTAAAAAACAAAACCAAAACAAACAAACAAAAAAAATGAACAGTTAGAAATGCAAATTTTCTGAAGTTTTCCATCAGCCTACAACATTTGGCGGGGGTAAAAATAAATCTAATTTTAACCAGTAAGGAGTTGACAGAATAGAGTCAAATCTAAATTATTTAATCCAAATAAACTCAGAAGTTCTGAATTATACATATTACAAACATTAGAGAACAGCGTTGGTAGTCAGATTTCACATGGCATTTGCTCAACTGCAGCAGGAATATTCCTGCCCCTTCCTGCTCATTATATTTTGGAGGAGGGCTGTGCATGGTTAGCCAAGCGTGTAACGGGGGAGGAGCGGGGAATAACTGATACCTGAACTGTTTCAGTGTAAGAGATGTTTTAAATCATTACAGGAGGCTTGTTTAACTTTGTTACAGGAATTCTCTTTCAAGATTGTTTCCACCTATGTGGGCACCTGATCTTGGAAGCAATGTTGAATTCTCAGGGTTCTCATCTAAGCACTCTGTTGAAAGTAAGGATTTTTCAAACCCGACGGGCACACAGAACTACTATCAGGAACACTTGCAAAAGTCTCACGATGTGGAGATGTTACACAGAGGTTTGGAAGATCTTCATCTCATAGAGTCTTGGCTTTCTCCATCTGGCCCGTGCACTCAGCCTGATAATATTCTGAAGAACAATTATCCTGAAAATTCCTCTTTGCAAAATAACAATACAATTCTCCAAGAAGGGTTTTCATTTCAAAATGTAGACTATAATCAGCATTTGTGCGGCTACGATCACATGAGGTTAAATGGAGACTACAAAAAAACTCGTTCCAATTTTAGCACTTTTTCTTCTCAGAACAGAATGAAAGAAGGCAGTAGCATTCAGAAAGAGTATTGGAAAACTGAAAGAGGCAAAGCTCTGAAAAGTCATGCTCAAGAACAAACTAAGTATTCCCCTGATCTTTCCAGTAGGCCTGTTGATGACTCTTGGGATAAAGTGTCCCAGGACAACCACTTGTTTTCTAAAAGATATGAAAACTTTACAGCTGCTCATAAATTGCAGTCAACTGTTTATCCATCGCTATATTTTTTCAATCAACACACTAAAGAAAATAGTTTTTCTGGAGGGACAAACAGAAAACCACAGGAAACCCATGTGCAAAACGGTCATCAGAGCTTTACTTTGGGGGATGCTTTTAATAATAATAATGAATGTAAGATCCATATTAGTCCTAAAGAATGCTCTCATAAAGTACCTGAGTATGATGTATCTGCAAAAAATGTTATGCAAAATGGGAGTTATTCATCGTACCATGGACGTATGCGGCTGGATGGGAAAATGGCAAGTCCTTCAGTTGCTTCAGATGTCACGTATGGAAAGCAAGTGGTAACAAGTCCACAGTCGTCTTCAGGGGTTTCAACCGTGTCTGGTGGTTCTCCCACCCATCAGTCTATAACACAGTCTTCTTACTACTCACAGATCTTACCTGTCCTCCCTCCAAGGAAAGATGTAAGGCCACAAATATCAAACGGTGTTTCTAATAACTTGGGAGTTTCTAATTTCATCTCAGAAAATCAGAAGCACATCAAACCCATTGGACGATCGCAGCATGATTCATTGACTAATAAGGAGGGGCAATACCGTAAATTCCCCATTAATTTTTCATCTGACTGGTTAACACAGCAGAATGCTGTAGGTGAAGACCCTGAAAAATACCACAGATTTCCAAAAAAGCAGAGCCAAGAAAATAGTAATAAGGATGATAGAAGAGGCAGAAGGAATTGGATTCCTCATTTTGGGTATACCACCCCAAACCGTCAGCAGTTCAATATGTTCCAAAAAAAACACGAACAGAATGGTGGTAGCATGTCAGATTTCATCAATCCTTCTTTTCTTCCTTCTTTCCCATTGATGTCTGATTTTAAACAAAATCCCAGCTTTCCTCCATTTAATCACCATCTGTTTTCATCAGCGAATAATTTCAATTTTCCTCCGTCACCATTTCCATTCTCAGAACTTGTTGATCTTTTTCACTACGATGACTTTAACCACTTGAATCCCTTCCTCAACGACCTGTTTTGTGGGGAAATAGCTGCCCCGTACTTTGCCTTTCCGACACCGTTTAACAAGTACAGACCTCCAAGAAATCGCAGTGGGCCTGCTAATGAGCTTCACATCCGACTGGAGGAGTGTTATGAGCAGTGGAGAGCTTTGGAGAAAGAGAGAAAGAAGGTAAAACACAACTAACAATAACTTCTTATCAAAGCTGGCAGTGGCATGAAACAATTTATAGAGAGTAGATACTCCGGGCTGTCACTCCTTTTGAGGAAGCGAGAGTTCTGTTGTCATGTTGTTAGTTTTAAATACCTGGAACACCATCTGCAACCTCTGCTTTGAATATAATGCTTGTGGTGTTGGCCATGACCCGCTTTAAATCATGCCTGGCACTGAGCTTCAGTTTCTAAGGCTCTTTCGCCTTAGACGGGGCTGCTAACACAACGTTTCTCTCTGTTAACCTACAATATTTGCTACAACAAATGTGATAACATCACTGGCCAAAGCACGGAATTATCGTTAGCTTGGATGTTTTTCATTTATGTGGCCAATAAAAGGTCATTAGCTGGTTGCTATTAATTGAGTAGGCCTTTGTTGGGACTCTAGAGCCACCAGCCATCTATGAGGATATGGCAGGGCCCTCCCTACCACAGGTGGTTCTTAAAGTACTGGTGTTTTATGGACCTTAATGCTCTAAATGTTCATATTGCACAGTTTGGTTAGATGGATCTCTCTTCTTTTCTTGTCCATACTCCTTCGCTTCAGCTAAATCTTTAACTCAACTTTTATAAACTCAGGCTCTTCTTTTCCCTGCAGAGTCATTTAAGGAGATAAGCTTTTGTGGTGTTTTTTGGGGTGTGGTTTTTGTTTGGGTTTTTTTGTCTTTTACTGTCGGTGATACAGTGGTGTCTTATTTCTGTTTCTTGTTTTACTAAATCTTTGGTTTAGTAAAAAGAACTGTAAGTAATCCTGGGCACCCTGTAGGTGGCTGCAGAGAAAACCTATAGTGTTTTGAATGCACGTGACTTCCCCCAGAGGAAGTTTCAATTTATACTCTTCTTGTTACAGTCTTAGACTCTCTTGCTAAGAACTGTTGTCAGGGAGGGATCGCACTACAGATAAATGTAATTACATTTGGGAACGGAAGCTCTGTGCTCAAAAGGAGCAGGAAATGCTTTCCCAGGAGGAGTCAAATCTCTCAACTCCATGCCAGGTCTTGGAAACTAGGTTGTCAGTAATCCATGGTCCTAATTGTGCCCCAAGTGCCTGTCTACTTATTCTGTGTTGAAGACTCTTGGTCCTTGGAGAAAGAGATGGGTATCTGGCCAGACTAGATCTCTGGAGAGCATCTTTTTTTTCCAACATCAACTGTGAGACCTTGCTAATAGACTTTTGGAAGTATAAATAGAACTGCCTACATTGTTTGCTCACTGATGCCTTTAAAGATGACTCCTTTCTGCCCATCCAGTCTTCTAAAAATTTCCTAAGAGCAAGAAAGGTGGTGAGTGATTTTTGCTGCAGTGTGTCTGGAACAACAGTGTTTTCACAAACTCTTCTGCTTTCTATTGTGGCAAAGGCGGCAGCTCCAAACCTGCTCATGCAGGATTTGGGTCAATTAAGTCATTTTGGAAGACTGAACCATAGTTTTTATCTCAGAATTTATGGGCTTTTTGTGTTTTCATCATTAGAGGGAGGATTGTTTATCCTCATGTGTTCTTAATAATCAAAGGGATTTAATTGATGAACTTGATCTGGTCCATTCTAAGTGATCCAGTTTTATCCTAGAGGTGATCTTGGGACTTCTCGGTCCTTGATTTTTGTAATTACAGGCTATACCTGCAGAGAGCTTTATGAGTATAAACTGTTCTCAGTCCCATAAGCCAGCTGCCGTAGCGTGGCGCTCATTTCTACAACCAAAATACTTATTCTTCAAAGGGGGCTGACTGCATCCTGATTGCCTGACAGGAATGTGCCTGGACTGCATTAATTCCTATTTGTAGCTACAGTTTGGGAGAATGCTATAGCTTACCTGTACGTATATATGTAGGAAGGGATTTTCTTTTGACTTTCTCACCGTTTTGATATTCCTGCCCTACATTAATTTCTTAAGAGCGTAGACAGAAACTCCCCTCAGTGAGACTTACATTTAATTCTACCTAGCTTGTCTGATCAGTCAGCCCTTTCAGCTCCTAGAAACCTGTCCATTGCAGTTGTTTTAGAGTTCACAGCGACAGTGAGCTTACCTCTTTCCTTCTACAAATCTCACTTTTCCAGCAGTCTTGCTTTTAAATTTCTAGAAATTGTCTGTTTGGAGTTGCCTGCAATATTAAATATGCAAATAGATTAGTACCGTGAATTGCTTATTAGTTGTAATTCTTAAATAGCTGGTGTCGTCATATGAATTGATGACCCTTTCTCCATCCATTTTTTTTTTCTGAATGTCTTTCAGGCTTCTGCGATGAATGCAAGTGGAGACAGCCAGCTCTTGTAATTCATGTTAGATCAGGGCAGAGACTAAATAATATGGATGTGTCAGTAAAGCAAAAAGAAAAGGACTTCAGCACGTATTTTCAGTATGAATGTTTGCAGTATGAATGTAGACTTAACCTTGCCTTAAATTGCAATGTGGAACCTAATCTTTTTCCCCTAAGTCCATTGTACACTGAAGGAGGAATGAGGCTGAGAATCAGCGGCTAGTTGTGTCTTTCTTACTCCAAGAGTAAGGAAGTTCCTATCCAAAAGTAGGTTTGGTAATGTTTAGTCACTGCCTGCGTTGTATAGTGGTTTGGCCAGTTCCTTTCTGAATGGGGAGTTTGGCAGCTGTGGTGATGACTTTATCAAAACTGATACCAGTTTATGTTAAATCTGGCTTAATCCTGGTGCATTTCAGGCATAATTTATGCTGGTGTGATCACCTGTTTCTCTTGTTAATAATCATGATATGTAGCGTTTGAGAGATGTGGTGAGAGGCATACAGTTTAAATTCCTGGAGTACTGTACAAGAATTTATTTGCCTAGGTCTGTACCTGAGATTGGTTAAAACAAAGTTGTATAGCTTTAGTTCTAAATGTTGCCACTGAGAGTGGTGTGTGCTGAGGTAGAGATGAATTACAGAAGTGTTCTTATTCTCACAGCAGCTGCTTATATATCTTAACAGATACTTGGGAACATTTTTCTGGAAATGCAGTCAGAAGCAAAAATAGGAAGCACACTTCCAACGTATTTGAAAATTCTATCCAGGCCCAGAAATATCGACTGTGATATTGTACTAATTTCAGACACTTAACGATGGTTGTTTATTTCCCCTCCAGACTGAGGCTGACCTTGCAAGAAACTTTCCAGGAAAGCGCATAACTAGCTCAAATAACACTCCTGTGTCCCGCCTTCCTGCTAACCCATCACGAGTTGATCGTTTGATTGTCGACCAGTTACGAGAACAAGCCAGGGTAAAGGCTTCTTGAGCTTTAACTCCTGCTTTTCTTTTGGGGCGTATGTTTGTTTGTTTAATGGAGACTTATAAATACTTTGTGATTTCGGTGTTTTCGATGTATATGGCAGGTGCTCACGTTAATAGGAAGAATGGAAAGGCTTCGTGGCAGCCCCGTACACAGTAACATATCCACTGCATTGGAACACCATAGGGAAGCCATTCACGTAACACAGGCGAGGCGTAAGGATGAGATTGTTAATGCTGCTAATCCACAGAGACAAGGAGCACCACGTTATAATAACGAGAAAGGTAACTGCTTTCCATTCCTGTAGTTTTAAAAGCTTTTTCAAAGACTTAATTGTGAAACTCTGCCATTTGAAATATGCACATTTGGAAATGCAGCCATTACTGTAGCCAGCAAAAAATGTTGCTAAATCTAAACCTGTCACTTCTTTAAATTACTTTAAGAGATACTTTTTTCTTTCTGTTACTACTTGCAACACTTTGAAACATTTTCCTCTTGACTAAGAGAACTGTAAAAACTGTTCTGTGATATTATATAACCATAACTAGTTTGTCCTAAAAGTAAAAACGTACTTGTTGTTAAACAAGTTGACTTTCTTTTTTAGTGGTATTGCTAGTCTGCCTCTTCAGCTTACAAAGTAAAAAAAAAAAAAAAAAAATTGGTGCCGTGTTAATGGATTATATCTACCTACCTTATCTAAATCGCAAAACTGCCAGAAATTACATTTCATAATTCCCAACTTTGTTGAAGTAATGCCAGAATAATTTGTAGCAGCAGTATCTACTTTTGTAGAAGTAATTCGAAACTAGGACAAATTGCATTCCCTTCTAACAGCATAATGTCAGTGATAACTTGCTATTCAGTATAATGATCGTACAGCTGATACATAAAGGATTTGGGGGTTTGGAGGTAAAGATAATATTATTTTTTTTCTCAGAAAATATCTGTATCTCAGAAAACGATTTCTAAAGAGGAATGCAATTCCCCTGCCTTGCCCTCATCTTTAAGACTCAGCACTGTCCTATATTGTCTTAATCCCTGCAGTGAAGCTGAGTGTGTGGTTCCTCTGGCATCCAGCAATGCGTATGGGGTAGTTCTTCCTTGTAAGCAGGGAAAGATAAGCTGTAAAGAGAGTCAAAAGATTTTGGTGTCCCAAGTTAGGTGTCAAGCACGATGTCATATCCTTAACAGTAACAGTCCTATATGTAAACCAGCTTTTAAAATTACTCCTGAAGTTGTGTAATGTGACGTGAGTCCCAAGCATAAGCCAGGAAGCTGGTAGTTATCACCCTACTGAAAAAAAAAAAAAATATTCCCACAAACTGTGTTTTTGATAATGCTTTATAGTAAATGCATATGGAAGCATTATTTGAACCATCCTGTATCGTGCTTGTAGTTAGAAAAATTGCAATTAGTCTTTCACGGTCAATAGTAACACCTCCAGAATCATAACTACAGTGCAGGAGAGCCATGCTGCTCTTGGGTGTCTTAAGCACAATCTAAATCATGTAAAGAAGGGCCTTTAATCTGTTTTTCACTGTGAAATATGTGGGGTTTTGAGTTTGGCTGTTGGGGATCATATATCCAGAGGTGGGCAGTGAGCTGTGCGGCTGGGTGGGTATCGGTGCCACTGAAAGGAAGACAAAGGAGGGAAAAAAAGGATTGTAACAAGCTCCTCTGGCTGGAATCGAGTAGGCAGTTTTACTAATCATACTTGTCGAGTATCACTGTAGATAGTCCCCTCTGATAACGTTAATTAAACAGGCTTAATCGTTGTATTGCGGGCGTGATGGTTATGCCACTGAATTTTGTGTTAAGGTTGCTGTTAGTGTGAGATGTTATAGCTGTCATCTGCGTGAGAAGAATGCTATCAGGGTACAACATTAGCTGTTTCTTGACCACACTTTGAGTACCAGTGATGGGTTGAACCAATGTACGGAATTTTTATTTTTATTTTTTTTTTTTTTTTTAATGTATTAATACCACTAGGCTTGTATGCCAGTTTAACCCGTAACGTGTTTTTCTGTTGTAGATGTGCTGGCTCTGGCAGCTGCCATTCGGGAGCTGGCCGCTTCCACGCGCAAGGCTCGTACCGCTTTGTGGTGTGCGTTGCAGATGACTTTGCGGAAAAACTCTCCAAGCAGTCCACCGAAACAAGAAGCTGTGGCCAGGGCATTGCAGGAGCTTTGCCCTCCAAACACAAGCACACAAGAAAAAAGCAACGTGGAACGTGAAAACAAAGGAAGCAAAAAAGAAAAACCCGAGGAAGCCATGAGGATTCTGGAATAATAGCAAATAACAGCAAAAGGGAGGCAGAAGGCTGAGGATGGGAAGGACAAAATGTCTTGTGGTACCACAGGAGATGTTTTTGATAAGTTATCAAAAAGCAAAGGGGTTAGCATAACTGATCAGTGCTGCACTTCTATTACTGTGATTCTGGTGTTGAGACACACATCTTGTAATAGTGTAAATGCAATTTTAATATTGATGGTATGGCGACATCTGTTACATAAGAATTTTATTATTAAGAGGAACTAAACAATAGCTGAGCATATCCCTGTGTGCTTATCCAAAGCTCTGTATCAGCTGTGAGTCAAGCCATGACCTGAGGAACCAGAGTGTGGTAGAACTTCATTCTCCTTTTTTTGGTAATGATACAATTTAGCATACTTAAAAAAAAAAAAAAAAAATCCATTTGCAAGGTATTTAATGTTTTTTTTTCAGGGGGTTTTTGCACCACGATGTAATCCTTTTAAGTGCCAAAGTGATCACTAAGTCATTTGCATCCCCTTGCTCTGTAAAGAGTAATCCACACTCCTGTATTGTTTTTGTCACAGGGAGTCAGGTCATTCAGGTTATCGCTAACAGTTTGACAAGAATAATCAGTGTTTAATGTTGGTTGCGTGAGATGTTCCAGCAGTTGTGCTGCCAATTCAGTTTCTAGCTAAACCAATGTAAACTGAGCTTTTCTATAGCATAGTCCATTTAAATTTTCCATTAAAAGAAAAATAAGTTTTGTAGATTCGCAGTAAGTACTGCATTGAAGTACACGTTAGCAGGTGATATAAAATTGTCACTCAGGATTAGAAATTAGATTTATTGATTCCTCAGTGGGTTAAAAAACAGTAACTATATAACACAGTATGCACTTAATTAAAAAAATTATTGTTTATTATTAATGTAAATTCATGGTACTATAATTTTCAGAAACATTCCATATTTATTTTAATGTGTTTATTGAATGTTTATTTAAAATTCTATTTTAGTAATATAAAGTTGGATATTTTGCCAAATCTTCCAAATAATCAGATTTAACGATTTACTCAGGAACTATGTATATTATTATATAAATATACACATGGTATATAGGGATTTTTTTTGAGGAAGGGATGTTTGCGAAATATTTACACAAAGCTAACTATATACTAGGTTACCAAAGCTGTTTAACCGATTAATTTTTCGCATGGAAGATTTAATATATTTAATTGCTGTTAATTAGTCTCCATTCTGTGGCTTAGACAATCAGAAGTGTTTTTGTATTGGTGTGAATGTTCAGGGTGAGAATTAGAAAAGAATGAATAATTCAGGTTTTGTTCTTAGAGCACTTATAAATATTTTAATGCTTTAACAACTGTCTTACTGTTACACGATCTCTTAACATATACTAATAACCAACTAAGGTTCTTAGGTATCTCAGTGTATTAATGAATGGCTTTGAAGAGCAGTTCTTATTTTGAAAGTGAATGAAGTTGGGGATATAAGCAAAGTTTGGAAGACAAAAATGGATATTTTTACGTTCCATAGTGTTCAATGTTGAATTTGACATTTTGTGGATAAATATATAATTGTTTCCATATATATATGTACTTGCAAAATGTTCCAAATGCAGTTCTGTAGTTTTGGATCTGTGGATGTTTCTAGAGCAGACGTAGTCTCGATAGTACCATCGTTAACTGTAATGAGGCAGTAGCTACATAACTGTAGGAAAAAAGTTACACAAGCCTCATTGTAATCCACTGATTAAAGTTTAAAAACAAGAGTCGATAGAAATCAGAACCTTAATATTTCAAGATTATAGGTTTTTTTCCCATAAAAAAGTTAATTCAGCTTAAAAGAATATTTTCAGCTTTAGCCTAAGAAACAGGTAGTGGAGAGAGTTATTTTCGTATGAGTGTTTTCTCTGTGTGCATGTGCAGCTTATTTGCACAAACTAATTTAAAGTTAAATCTGCATTTGTGGAACTAATTAACTATACTCCACAGTTTAAAAAAAATGGAGTCTACAGTATTTCAGTTAATGAATAATGTTGTTTTTTAATTATGATTACTGTGTTGACGGGAAATCAGAATTTGAAAGTCTTGATTCGCTTTTCTGTTTACAGAACAATTGTAGTCCTGCAGGATTGTTTTGTAGTGGTGAATGTATAGGGCGTAGTAGGTCCTTATCGTATTGCTCGTGTGTTAATTATTATTGTGAAGGACTGTGGTCTTAATCGGTTCATAATATAGTTAATGTGCCTTTAACAGTCTCATTTTTGACAAATGGTAAATAGCTGTATGCTCACTTCTCTTTTCAATTGCAGTTTAAAAATGCATTTATGAAGGGTTACAGTGTGGCTGCATTTGACTGTAGCTAACAATTAGCACACGCTGTTAACGTTGTTCTTGCACACCCTTAGTCCAGTCAGGGGCTCTTTAACAAGCGTAAAGCGCCGTAGCTGTGGAGAGTTGCCACAGATCAGATGTGTTAGTATCAGATTTTCCTTGTCATGCCCTACAAATGTGACCAGCACGTGCTCATATTTCATTTTTTCCTTGCGCTGTTTGCTTCATAAAACCTTGCGGTCCACGTATCAAAATGATTTTGTGCCCATTTCTTTAGATGATTTGAATATGGATGGTGGTAGACCTAAAAAGATAAAAGTCCTTTCAGAATGCTTCGGTTCTATTGCTTTATTACACACCCTTTTATATTTCAGGGGAAAAAACCACTGTATTTTGTAAAATAACCCCCTGGAGTTACAGCAGCTCTGTTACAGTCGTAAAATATTTTTAGCTGCCTAATGTTTAATTTGGTGACAGCGTATAAATTCTGTGGGTATTGCACTGAATTTTTGGTATGAATATAAGTATAATGCTCCTGGTTTTAGGGACTAATTGTATTCACACTTTACTGAATTCAGTGGAAGCAGAGTTAAGGCATTAAGTCACACTTGAGCCAGAGAGGTGGTTTTGTTTTGGAGTTGGGCTTATTTCTGGGAAAAAAAAAAAAAAATTCCCTCCAATTTGTAGAGCAACCAGGTAACATTTAGTTTATGGTCTTCTTCCCACCTCCCCCAGCTTTGTTGAGATTTAATTGTTTTCCTTTCCCCACCCCCCCCCACCCCCCCCCCCCATTTTGATTGATGCAGATTAAATTTTTGAACGAGGTGAAGAAGATGGAGTTGTAGCTAGTCATGGTAGCAGTGATACTAGATTGCTCCAGTTGAAAACAGGATACTTAAAAGTCGCTTCTCAAGTCAAGATTATTATCAGGGTGTATGTCATCATACTTGGTAGTGAATCCTGAATGCTTTAAAATCCAAAATTGATATTCCAATACAACAAAGGTTTAAGAATTGCAATTATTTCTGTATAAATAATCGGAGGGTTCTGTATTCAGCTTTCTTGATTCCCAGAAGAGAGGCCAGCATCAGAGTTAAGAACTTTTTTTTTTTTTTTTTCCTGTTTACAGGTTTGGTAACTCTTCTTTTCTCCTCTATCCACAGGGTCCCTATGGCAATTAAGTTAGTCTGATGGTATCTATATAAACTAAACCTAAGACATTGGTATTAATTTCTCATTATTTTTATTAGAACAGCATACGGGGCGGTTGTCTAGATTTGTGATACTTGTCTTGCTGTGGCCTTTTCAGGAATGTGTGTAAGACTATTAGTCCTCAAACTACTGCTACTTGTTTTTTCATTCCAGACTGATTATTCTTCTTTGCTCTTGGTATTTACCACCACTACTAATCTTTTTTCTCTGTATCTGGATACATATAATTTGGAAATTATTTGCCTTAGTTTGGAAACTGATGCTCTACTTTTTATAAAAAGTATTTTATTATTATTCCTGGTACCTTTTCTCTTTGGTGAAGTGTATTAATAGGAGAAGATGGAGATTATATGAGTGAGGAGGCTTTGCTGAGGTACTTGCCTTTTAGAGAAGCACGGAGATACTCCAAAATTTTGTGGAAAGCTTCCTAGCTTTCCTGTGCACTTTTCCAGATTATGTTTGATCTGCTCCCCAGGCCTCCTCCCCTTTTTTGGGGGGGGGATATAAAGAGGGAAAGGGGAGCTACTTCCAGTGGCTCTGGGGCTCCTGTGGTCAGAAGGTTGTGGTCAGAAGGGCCAGGAGGCTGTCTTTGCTTCAGCAGATGCTGTCAGGGTTCAACTGCTGAGACTTGTGGCAGAGTTGGCTTGTTCTTGTCCCGCTCCGGTAGCCACCCTTCCAGCCTTGGATGTTTTAATCACGCGGAATCAAGCCGTGTACTAGCTTGAGGGGCTGGAACAGGGTTTGGGAGCAGCTGGTTCAAACCACTGGGGTATGGTCCTCCCTCTTGGATCGAGATCACCACCTCTCAACTGCTGTCTGTAAGGGAAGAAAATAAAGTGAGATTCAAACTCAGCTTTTCTAGACTTAGAAAATGATAAATGGCAAGGAGCACTTAGCATAAAACTTCCACTGAACTGTCTGAGTTTTTAAAAATCTGTCCTTCCTCAAGTAACAGCATTCATCTTTGCTCAGTATGATGATCTCGGATACACAGTTTATATTAGGTCATTTCTCTACTTCGGTAGGAAGTTGGATTATTATTTTTTTGTTGTTGTTGTTTAAATGCTGTAAAGATTATGCAACAAAGAGACCTGAAGCCTATATGTATTTTTTTGAAAGTTATATTGTAACCTGCTCTGAAAGCTGATTCTCACACCCCACCCCAGCCCCAGTTCTCTGTTTGGGAGCTGTGATGTCAAAATGCTGCATGTTGGAGCAACCCAGAGCAGTAGGGGTTTGGGGGTTTTTGTGCCCTGTATCGTTATTGCTTTGACAGTGTACATGATCTTAATTTAAAATTTAGTTTTACAACTCTATTGCCACAGTCATATTTAGATTTTTTTTTTTTTTCCTCCCTAATAAAGTAGAAAAATCTTGAGTTTCCAATTACATAACTCTTCAAGATTGTACGTTATATTGAACAAGAACAGGGAATACTGCACGTCAGCAAATATGAGAGCAATTGACTTGTGAATATATCTTTTTAATAGTAGTATTATTATTTTTAAATAAATGCATTTGCAGCCTAGGCTACTGAAAAGATGGGCATGGTCCTGCTTCCATTGAAGCTGGCAGCTTTAACAGATTTTTGTCTTTATTTGGCTTCGTTGCATTATGGGCACGGCATCTCGAGTTAGGTAGGCTCTTTGTAAATACAAGCTTAGTAGTTCACCTTGAACATTTGTTATCAAGAAACTGCAGCAGGATGAGTTCCCAGCCTATTTTGTAAGGTTTCTCACCACACTGACAGCTTGAAATTAGCAGATAATTTTGCTTTCTTTTAAAGCTGGGGAATGTACCTACTGCAGAAGCTTTGGCTGAATTGAACTTGTGGATTTCTAAGAATTTCGCACCTTGTCTTATCCTGATCTGCTTTGATGGAAATATAGCCTTAACCATACTAAAACCTTTGCTTTATTTCCTGTGCAGTTTATCCATCTTGGTCACCAGCACTTTTTTGTTTTGTAGAACGTTATATGAAAATCAGGCATCTCTTATTTTTTGGTAGATACTTCTGTCTAAGTTGTTTTTTTAAAAATAATGACTTCGCCAATCAATTTTATCAGTTATATAGAATTGAAGGTACTTATTTTTCTTCATTAGCAATATTGTAAGCAAAGGTGCAAAAAAAAAAAAAAAGATGCATTTAATGTGTGTGGTCTGTGTTGTTAGAGATTGAAAATGTGTCAGGTTAGGAGAAACTTTAAAAAAAAAAAAAATGAGGACGGAAGCTATGAATCCTCTTTGCTTGTTTGCCAAATGAGCTTTAAAAAGGAAAATATTTGCATATAGTGTGTAAAAAGCTTGTTAGAGAGAAAGAATAAATCAGACTCAAAATCACTCATTTCCAGACAAAGATTGCTTTAC